CACACTATTCACCCGACCATACCGAGAGGGAAGAGAGTGATAAAACTGAACAAGAACAAGAGAGGCAGAGAAAAAGAGGAGCTTGAGAGATGATTAAGGCAGTACTGACAGGGACAAGTATAAAACCACACTGGGACAAACAAGAAAACATCATTCTACATGGGGAGCCAAAGAGACAAATAGAAAGAGGCAAACAATAAGCACTCTTCACGCTATAAGCCTCACGTTGCATCATATCAGCCCATCAACTGAGGGAGAACCACAGGAGACATCACCCGCTGTCGCTTCTGCTGCTCTTATCCGACCAATAACAACATCATCCTGTTTAGCAGCAACAGCAACACAGAGTCATTCTCTAGGAGAGGCTTCTGATGTTTAGAGCTGTGAGCAAAGAGGGTCTGATAGCTAAAAAGTCTACTCCTGCTCTGCTCTTCTTATTGTTATTTATTTTTCAAATAATTATTTTCCAGGAATACTTTCACAGCAATGAGGCTCAGCGCATACGTAACATATTTCATAGTTAGTATTTGTGTAAGGATATTTTAGAAGACTGTAATACCTTTTCTGAATACTGTGTGTTCCAGGGAAACGAGAAAATTTCTAGATTATAATCGATCAAATAATCATTGTAGTAATTACACAAACAATGCTTAAAGGGCTTGTTTTTATGTTAACACATAATCCAAATTAATCTTATCTTGCTGGTATTTATAAATAGCCCCTAAAACGGATTTGCCACGGATTCTTTCTTTGTTCTTCCATATATGCAAAACAATTCAGCTTAGAGCTGTCCGTTATTGTTCATTTGTGCAGTCTAATAAAGTTGGGCCTCAAACGTCTATCCCACATCTATAAAATAACTCTCAAACAAGAGGACACAATGCTCCACAACATGCCATAAAACATCATTTTAGAACATTTAACATTTTAAAGCGATAGTAATTTTTGGTTATTTCTTTTGTTTATGGCCATAAACACAACACTGACATATCATGTTATCAAGTTGTTGTAGATAACATGTTCGTAAACAGGTGTATTAGCATTCCTTGGGAGTCGGGTTTTTGGCCATCTGACCAATACAAATCCAATATTCAATCGTCTCCTCCAGCTCTTGAGGGAAATATCTGGCTCTTTAGCTGCTAAATGCTCAACAATCTTCCCCAGCTAGTTGCTAACTTAGCACTGAGGAGAGCGGAGTGGAAAACAATAAAGTTGCAGATCGTAAAACTAAAACAAATAGCTGAAAGAAGCTGCAGAGTCAGATGGTAATTCTCTGTGGGTTCATCAGTGCAACATCTTCCAGATTACATAGTCTTTTGACCCGCACTTAATCTAAAGATATTGATTACTACAGCTTTAAGCATTAAAGTGCAATTCCTTTTCAAAGAAGGAAAACAGAAAAAAATACATTTGGTACAATTGGTACATTTCAATATTATACAACTAACTGTACATTGGGAGAAAATGTTTTTTTAAATTAAGTCTTGGAAGCAGAAGTACAACACTGTAAGGCCTTTTGGTTCATCAGTGGTTTTGTTCAAACATTAGTCTGTCACCAGGAGCTTTGATTATATAATAAAGATGGAATTTTTATGTTTCTTCTTCATTTACAACATGACCTATTAATTTTATCAAGTTATGTGATGACGTTTCTACTTTCTAAGGACAAAACCAGTTCATGCCACTCAGCGAAGCCATTGTTCAGAGCTTTGATGGTATTCAAGCATAACTTCAATATCAATCGGTCTACATCTATGATCCAAATGCACATTTAAACACAATCCCACTGATCCTCCATAATGAAATCTCTCCCTTACACCAGCTGAGGATAAATACAAACCAAATACCCTCATGAAGACGTTCAGATGATTGCCAAGATTTTTTCCAAGACTGACAGAAAAATAATTAAAACGTTCCATGATTCTTTTTTCAGTAAATGTATTATTTGAGCACCCCACTATTCTTGCTTCATATTTACATGGAAATGCCAATCACATGTAGTTGTCATAAATTCAACTCAGAAACATGGGGCAGCTAAGATATGAAAGAGGGTTTTTAAATATTAACTTATTGTCCAAGTTGAATTGCCAAATTTTAGTTTCAAGACATGGAGACATGCCTTGGCAATAATAATTAAAACAGATTATTATCATGCTTCCTCACTCTGTAGGCTATATCATCTGTTAGAAGAGGTACACACTCATGGTATGGTAATTACTATGACAGACAGGATGGCCTCTCATAACTGTCCGGCCGACATGCGGCACGATTAATCAATCAAAGCTCGGGACTCAGAGGGGTTCACCCTTTAAGACATGCATAATAATCCATCACTGCTCCTCACATTCACATGCTGATCTATCAAGTCAATACGCCTTGCTGACAAAGAGAGACAGAGCAGAAAAAAAAATTGAGTAATGGACTGATAGCCAATATCCAGAATAATTATAATTTTCATGATGATGAAAACGAAGCTGATGAGTGCTACATTAGTGCTTTGAGCAGAGCAGCCCTGTCTGTAAAGTTTACCAATAAACAAATCGAAGGATACATTAGTGGACTGTAATCACTGGAACAGTTTGGTTGGTAAAGAAATAAACGCTATGATGAAAAGCACAGCAAGGGAGGCAAATAGCAAAGAAACACCAAAGGTACCAGAACAAACAATGGAAAAAAGCAGCAAAACAATCCTGCAAAGTCAACTACTATATAGTTACTGGGTATAAATCTACATTGCTGAACACATCAACCTGGGAGTCGCACCAAAATAACACTTCAACATATGGAGCAATAAAAATACTATATACTAATTGCAATAAAAAAAGTCTGCCAGAAATGATCAAAACTTTAAACAATTGTTTGAACAACCACATATTTAAGGAATACTTTTAGTTAACTAAGGATTTTAAATTTATACTGCAAATGTTTGGTTAATTTTTGCCTAATTTATTTACTGAAATGGATTTTCTTTATGTAGCCCATAAAAATCGTTTTGTTTTTTACATTCTGAATCTAAGCAACGTATTTGTTTCCTTGCCTGGAGTTAGATGTAATGATGATGGACACCAGTTTAGCACAAAAAGGAACTAATTACTGTAATTTTATTATGTTGGACAGAGCTAGGCAAGCTTTCCCCCCTGCTTTCAGTTTTTATGCTACGCTAAGCTAATGGCCTGCTGACTGGTGCTTCATACTGAGTGAACTGATATGAGAGTGATATCAATTTTTACCATCTAACTCTCAACAAGAAAGCAAAAAAGCGTAGTTCCCAAAATGTACTACTATTCCTTTAAGCATCAAGGAAATCTCTGAGCTCAGCAGTAATATTTCCTTATAAATTTTTTGCGCACACACACACACACACACACACACACACACACACACACACACACACACACACACACACACACACCACACACACACACACACACACACACACACACACACACACACACACACACACACACACACACACACACACACACACACACACACACACACACACACACACACACACACACGAAAGGCAATAAATTGAAACCTTTAAGTCTCTATTCTAATGTATGATGTCACGCTACACTGTCTGGTGTTCTGTCCAGCACCTCATATTTCTTTTTAATAACCTACTGAGGGCTTTTGCTCTGCCCTTTTACTGCATGTGCTATGTGTACCTTGAGAAAGAATTACGAGTCTGACAGTTCTCATTCTGAGTAAGAAAAAAATATGTTATTAGTAAGTAAAAGAAGATCATTTTGGGCTCTCATTATGTTGCAGCTCATTTCCAGGTTTTATGATCTTGTCAACAGGAATGTACTTTAGATGAGATTATGGTGTGTTTTTGGGCAATATGTCTATAAAAAGCCTGAACAGCAGCAACTGCTGCCTTCAACAGTAACATCTCCGTCGACCCACACACATAGGTATATACAAAAGGCATGCGTGCACACATTCACGCACACAACACAACCCCACACACACACAGTATCAGGAGTAATCTAAGATATAAAGCCTCATCGATCAGAACTGCGCTCTCTTGAGGATTACATCATTGCTCAGCAAATAGCCAATCAGAGCACAGCCAAGACTGCCCCCTCTGTGACCCCAACTCCTGTAAAAGTAAAGGCAATAAGAAAGAGCCACACACACACACACACACACACACACACACATCCACACTTCCAGTCACGTCACAAGGAGGCATTGATACGATTCTCTCAGGTGTTGAGTGTTTTTATGTAAACCTGCACCACTGCAATGCTCCTCTAGTTAATGCAACAATGGTGCATATTACACTCAGACACATCAAACGTATCTCAATCAACAATTCTCCCTCTCACATACACATGGATATAGGCATGCAGAGTCAAGGAGTTATGATGTTTAACTTTGTGGAAGTGTATTGTGTATGCATATAGAGTATACTTGTGTTTAAGCGTGGGCAGGAAGTGGCACACAAGAGCATCACCAGTCTGTTTTGTATCTACTGCACATAATAGAATCATGCATTATAAAAACAGTCATATATTTAGAGGTCATTTGTAAAACTAATACATCTCTATTTGACAAACAATACATTTACATTTATTCATTTAGCTGACGCTTTTATCCAAAGCGACTTACAATTTCTGTATATGTCAGAGGTCGCACGCCTCTGGAGCAACTAGGGGTTAAGTGTCTTGCTCAGGAACACAATGGTGGATGGGTCAATAACAATACTATTGTTGTTTTCTTTGAAAAGTTTACATTTTGGGGAGTCTTGGTAGCCTAGGGGTCTAAGATGCATACCATGAAACAGAAACATCACTGGTCCCAACCTGGCCAGGGACCTTTTATTTGTCCTTATATTTTATTTATATATTTATTTGTACTAAATATACAATTTTGGAACAGACTAATTTCTACCTAACAAACTGTGTCTTCTACTCCACGTATAACAGACATTGACTTAATGACTTAACTATCGATTATGAGTCTGAATGTATGAGTATGTGTTAACACACCTTGATGTAACCGCCAGTTGAGACCAGAAGAGAGTTGTCGGGGGAGAAGTGCAGGTCGGTCACCCAGCCTCCGTGCAGCGAGTCCATACCGTCTTTACCTTCCCGGGAACAAATCTTCAGCAAAGAGCCATCCTTGACGCTCCAGAGCTGTAATGGACAGTCTTATATTATAAACAACCATAAAGTAAATGTAAACAACAAAGATGTCAGACGTTGCAAGTAAAACACTCAACAGAAAAAAAATGCATGTTTTACATTATTAGTCAAAGCATATTTTTTGGGATTTATGCTAGCTTGTCTGCATGTTAGCATTTTGTTCTGTCAACAGAAAAAAAAAAAAAGAAGGTATTAAATTCCTATAACTTACAAGGTCAACTTATTTGGTTGGTTTTTCTGGTGCTTTCAGCCCAATATTGTGGCCTGTATCAGCAGATGGAGTTTGCTCAGTAGCCAAAGAGATAGTTTTGTCCACAAGGCCTAAGTAAGTATGGAATTTAGATTATGTGGTAACAGGTGGTCGTATACGAGGGGAGAAGGTGACCCGTCTCTTTTCAAGGATGGTCTCTGGCATCAGATGTGACCAAAACTCATACTTACGTCCCATGATAACAACTAAATCGTCTCCATGGCAACTGAGCAAAGAGCATCTGTTTCTGAAGGTCACGAGATGTGGCTGAAAGCTGCGGGGGGGAAACAAGCAAGTAGACCTTGTGATAGGAACTTATTTATTTATTTTACCATTACCTTTTTTTGTCAAATTTCTAAGGTCAAGATGAACCTTCAAGCTGAATAAAATGAAAAGCAAAGGGAGAAGAGAAATTGCACAGATACACAGAGGGCTTGTATACAAAATTATGAGAAATTACCCATAATGCACCACATGTATATAATGAAAAGATGGTTTTGACTCTGTGATCACAAGAGCAGCACATCATGTCGATTGCAGCTGTTATGCAACTGTTCACATGTCCGTTTGACAATGACACATCACACGTACAGCTATATTTAATGCTTGGCGTGCTTTTGTGTGGAATGACTCACATTTGTCTCCATAGAAACAGGGGTGAGATTTCAGTGTGGTTTATGTAATTGGATCTGATGGATTCATCCATTTCTTGATAACGGAGCAGTTCGGCTCAGAGGCCACCAGAGGGCATTAACCCCTTGTTCACCGATAACAGTGCTGCCACTCATCGCTGCAGGCTGAATACCACTGAATGACTTTTCTCACATCTTCTCCTCTACCTCTAACACATGCTTACTTTTCATATATACTGTGTGTGTGTGTGTGTGTGTGTGTGTGTGTGTGTGTGTGTGTGTGTGTGTGTGTGTGTGTGTGTGTGTGTGTGTGTGTGTGTGTGTAAGCAGTGCAGATTCAAAAGCCTTGGGGATCCAATTTGGCAGCCATAGTCCTCTCCTTCACCTCCCACTGTCAAACATCTCCTCCTCTTCCTGCACTCTTCTTCCCAACACAACCTGCACCTCCTCCAGCTCCCGCTCCCCCATCTGAAAAGGTGCCCTGCCCCCTTCCTTTCATCTCACCCCTCCTCTGTGCACTGCAGCAATCATGATGCATTAGTAAGCACTTTATCTAAATGAGTGAAAAGATGTAATTATGGGGTGATGTCTGGAATAAATGTTGACTGGTGTAATTGCATTTTTGTATGATGCACCACAAATGAGATGGTTTGAGGCATTATCATTACTTCTTATGCCAGTAACGTAATGCCATTCCACAACCTCATTCCCCTCATAACTCCAACACATATCTCCGCTTCACTTGTTTTGCATTTAAGCAACAGCAGAACAGGCCTAGTGAGCCCAAATTCCTAGACCAGGAACTGATAGAAAGAAATGGAAAGGTTAGGAATACAATGAATGTTTTGTATACACACCCGAATCTCTCCATTGTCATCTCCTGTTGCGAGGCGTCGGCCGTCCCAGGAGAATCGGCAGCTTCGGACACAGTCTTGGTGGCCGCTCAGTGTGCGGATACACTGCCAGGACTCGCAGTGCCACAACTAGGGAAAGAAAGTAATGCATCAAGAAGACTGGAAAGCATAAATCGGTACATCAATTGTGTTATTGCAAGAAATCTGCATGTATTTACTTCATTTTCACATAGCAGTATAACTGAAGTGAGTGACGACTCCTTACTTATTCAAAAACCATAGAAGACTAAACTACTCATTTCCGTACCACACATAAGAGTGTGAGATATACTGTAGGGCAATTGTAATTATAAGAACCATCATAGGATTGTTCACCTGGGAATAACAGGAAATAATATCAATAATAAATAAGTTTTATTTTTGTTGCTCAAACCAGTCCTCACCTGTTAAAGCTTGGGGTAGGCAACGTTGCAGAACTAGCAAGAAACAACTAGATTTCCAAAAATTATCCAAATGAAAAAAAATTAGATTTATTGATTGCTGTTGGGATTTAAACAAAAATGCTTCTGAAATAAATTGTCTACCCTAGCTTTAATAGGTCTTATGAAAGCAAATATATCGCACTAAATGCAGAGCTAATGCTGTTACAGCACTGCATCAGAATGAAGCTGTTAATGAGTGCTGTCTCACTCTCCACTGTTTTTTTATTACTCCCACTTTGTTTGGATTTTCCTTCTTTCGTTTGTCTCTCACCCATTGTTCTCTTTATATCCTCTCCCTCCTTTCTCTTCCCTTTCCTACCCTTCTTCTCTGTGTTGCTTCCTTACCCCGGTCACATCCTGTGCAGCACAGAAAATAATACAGCTCATAATTAGACACTTCATTTGGCAGCCGGCTAACTATGTCTGCACACTAAGTCCCATTCATCCGAAGGTCAGTAGAAAAAATAAGAGAAAAAGAAAGGGGGGGGGGGGTCAGAGAGAGCGAGATGGAGGAAAAGAAATGAGTAGAACAGAGAACTTTCCATTCTATTCTCAACAAAGACACTGATGGCTGAGCTTTATGGTTTGACCTCTAGATAGACGGAGACCAGGGACTTTGTGTTTGTGTGTGTTTTGAGCTACCAAAGCCCGTACTCGGTCTGGAGAACAAGGACTATGTGACTGGCTGCTAACCATCCCCACAACACACACACACACACACACCTCAATTATTGTCTTTGCCAAATCCATAAAACACACATTCTCTCTCACTACCATCCATTGACAGAAGCCAGGTTGGCTGCAGACCCAGTGCCTGTTCTCTACAGTGAGTGTCGACCAAATCCAAATTCCCGTGTGAAACTCGGTGGCAGTGGCTCCATTCAACTTCTTTTTAAAAAATGCCCAAGAGAGCAGCTTTGCATCATTTCTAATGCAGAACACTCAACACCAGTTGTCATCTGCGATTGTAAGCTGGACAGACAAGTAAAAGTCTAACACAGAACCCGCAGACGTTCTCATGATCCAAGAAAATAAATGGACACTGAGGGGAGACAGTGTCAAACAGTATACACTCTCAGTACAGCTCAGCATGAACTGTGCAAAGAAGTTCTCTTTTCTGTGGATAACTAATAAAAAAAGGAAAGATTTTAGAGTTGCTTGTGGAAAAGGTTAAATACCGCATCTCCAGCCCACTGAGTCTGTCAAAGTCACGCCAAAGTCAAGTGCAGCGGTGTTGGTAAACGACAACCTGGCAAAAACAACATCCAGACAGGGAGGTGGGTCGGTCGAGGGCCAGCCAGGCCGCCAGCCAGGCCGCCAGCCAGGCCAACGGGTCAGCAGGTCCACCAGTTACAGTCAGACTAAATGATCATTGGACATGGGTGTAGGAGGACAGATCAACCTGCAGCTAACTCACCAGGCCCGGGGCCATCTGCTGCACACTAATCTCTGAGGTCCCTCGTCTCCCTACCAGAGAAATATTTAGTCTCAGATATCACTCACAGCAACACGTTCATGTGTATGTGCTGTAATTAATGAGTTCCGAAGGAGGTCTGAGGGAAGACGCTGGTGTGTAATAGGTCACGTTGTTACTGGCAGCACAAACAGATATGTCTCATCCCATGAGCATGTGTGTGTGCGTAAGTGTTGAACCTTAGCAGTCTTGTCAGCAGAGGTGGTGGCGAAGAGGCATCCATCTGGCGAGACATGACAGGATAGAATGGTTTCCCGATGAGCTTCGATGTCCTGCAGCTTCTCTCCACTTTCTATGTTCCACATCTTCCAGTGAGCAAGAGAAACAGAGATTATTTTGTATTTGATCTCATGCTGTTGTTAACTGTATTGGGTGGAGGTGTGTGTGTGGGCTTCACCTTGACAGTGCCGTCGAAGGACCAGGACAGCAGTCTTGTGTCGGCCGGTGAGCTGGAGAGCAGAGAGAAGCATCTGACCTGTTCCTTGTGACCCTGCAGTACTTTACACTCCCCAGACTGCCACCTCCACACCTACAGGGGACAACAGAGAAACAAACAGGGACAACAAATCTTTTAGCCACTGATGCTCTTTTCCTTCAGTCCAGTTCCACCCTTTTGAATTCTGGTATTTATCAAACCAGGTCTTCTCATAATTGTGTCCATTTTGACTAGATATTTCTTAGGGGGCATAAATGATGCAACAGGAAAGGTAAGACAGGTCAAGCTTGGAGTCATTAGTTGTCCCTACAAGTGTTCATAGACCTTCCTCTAGTAACTCTAGTTTTTTCCCCCTCATGTAACTGTCCTTGTTAGGGAGGCAACAGTTAGACTGATAAGGTAGAGACAATAGCTCAGGCTTCAGGCAAGCAGAAATCATTGTTCTCTGGGAATCTTACAAGCTTAAGTCTGAGTCTAAAAAATGTTTATAAGAACTTACTGGCTCCACAGATTAGAGTACAACTCATGGATAGTAACAGATTCCAATATAATGTAGCACTGGAGTCATAAACATCAAATAGATTTGTTGTTCTAGTTTCAGGCCAGTTAAAGATGACCTGAGGGAAACCTACAGGAACTAGGTGGAAGACAGAAACACAAAAGAGACCAAAATATGTTATCCTTCAGATTTGGTGTTGGCATTCGATGTGTTCACATGTTGTATGCTGGCACTGTATCTCCTCAGCCAGGCTCAATAAACCATGCTATGTTAAGTCTTCATCAGTCTCCGAAACTTCTTCACACTTGAACCTGGCTCACAATATTTCTTCAACAACTAGTATCAAATTTCAAGCTAGGGCTGGGCGATTTGGCCAAAAATGTTATCACAATAAATGTCAAATCAATATTGCTTTCAACTTTAAAGGCAGTTTTGGCTCCTGAGTTAAAGTTGAAGAAGAAGAAACCAGATGGTTAATTGTGGTTTTGAACTATTATTTATGGTCAGAACATGACAAACCCTTGCCAAACAGTGGATGACTTCACAAATCTGAGTGTAGAACATTTACAATTATGATAAAATACTCTTTTCAAGTACATATGAGTAAAATTAAGTAAAAAACTTTGTTCAGTCCATTTTCCTCAACAAAATAAACAATAGAAAAATTAAGTGCTAATTTTTTTGTGATTCAAATGACTTAAATCAAACATTTATTATACATTTACTGAACATTTGTTATTTTGTAATAGAGGAAAATTGTATCGCGATAATTATCATTATTGTTTTATTGCCTAGCCTTATTTCAATCTGGGTCATATTTTCGTTTCCCAAATCTTTAGAGCGAAGGTCAGAATGGACGCAATTATGAGAATTAAACCCAGGTTCAAAAATACCAGAATTACCATTTAAATACAGACATTACTCACAAGGTTTAATAACAGGACAGCAATAGCAAAGACAAGACAAAGATGAATTTCAATTGCTCTCAAAAATATCCCAGAAATATAAGCAAAGAAAACAATCGCATTACAATAACTAAATAAATAAAAAAGAAATGTAGCATCCACTAGTCACAGGGAGGCTGCAGTGTATGCGTATGCTATAACATAGAGAGGGTATAATACTGCATTAATTTTTAGAGCACAAAAATGATGACGTAAATGACCAAAGACAGGAGTTCAACTGGGCTCAAAGATGTGGGCAGGACAGCCAGAATCATCCAGATCATCCTATCAATCATGCCCTTGTGTGTAACGCTGCACCTCTTCTCCTTTCAAATAGAACCTGTCATTGATCCAAAGGTTAGAATCCATAACCAGCTGACATCCGTGTCATTAGATCTCTTTACATTCACTCTGCGTCTACATTAACCTCTTAATACACACTTCCATTTCCTAGCGAGCATATGTCGAACAGCATGAATTTGAAGCTTCTGAATAAGTCACAGACGGCCCAGAATAGTGATGGCATAGACAGCAGCCGCATGAATACGGGACATGGTGCTGTGTTTGTCGGAGAGGGAAGGAAGTGCTGCAGTGGACAGGTTTGTCAGCAAAAAGAAAAGATGAAGAAGGAGGAGGAGATGAGAGGGGCGGAGAGGAAAGGGGAAATGAGCAACAGAGCATGAATGGTGGAGGTTGACAGACCATAACGGGTCGAAATACACACACATACTCACACACAAACATAGATAGCTGCACACGGTAACTTCAAGCATAGGAGGGAGATAAAGAGCTATGGAGAGAGGCATAGCCGAAGGCAAAGAGAGGGATATAGGAAGGTGAGGAGACAAAAGAGGGTGATGAAAAATGGAGAGGTGAAGAGGCCGACAGAGACGCTGGTAGAGTGTAACAGGTAGGGGAAGGTGAAAGCACCAAGGAGACCTGAGAGGATGAGTGATTCAGCAGAGCAGGCAGTTTTAGGCAGGTGAGGAATGGGGATGGAGGAGAAGAATAATCAATAGCAGAGTAAAAAAAAGGTTGGGGGGGGGAGGAGATGAAAGAACAGGCCATAAATTAGGCAAAAAAGGATTGTGAGGATGACAGAGAGTTTGATAAATGGGAGCAAGACAAACAGGATAACCAAGCAGAAAGAGAGAAACAAAAAGCATAAAGGGAGGAAGAGAGAGGAAGGGAGCAACTGAGTGAGGAGAAGACTTTAGCGTACCCTTATGGTGGTGTCCTCGGAGGACGTGATAAGTGTTTGGCCGTTCTGGCTGAACTGGCAGTGCAGCACCGTCTTGGTGTGTCCCAGCAGAGAGGCTAGGAGCTTCCCAGAGGGGACTTCCAACACCTGGAAGGAAGAAACAAACATTAGGCTGGTCTACAGCCATGCTAGCAGCTGTGCGAGGCTTTAGTTAGGCACAGCGGTGCTTTGAGCTTAATGCTAACGTCAGCATGCTAACATGCTCACAATGACAATACTAACATGCTGATGTTTAGTAGATATGTTCACCAGCTCAGTTTAGTGTATTAGCATGCTAACGTTTGCTAATTAGCACTAAACAAAATTACAGCAGAGGCTGATGTTAGTTTTGCAGGTATTTAGTCATAAACAAAAGTACTGAACAAACAGAAATTTTGACCAGATGATGGTGCTAGCCAACCAAAGTTCATCCAGAGGGAAGCATGAGTCTGTGTACCAAAGTTCATTGCAATCCATCAAATAGTTGAAACAGTTTAGTCAAAACCACAAATCTTAACCTCACACTGGAGGGAAAGTCAGGGCCTCACAGCAGTTGGAATCATCTGGGAACTACACACATTTTCAGAATTTTTACAAAATTTAGCTCCAGTGTAGATGTGGAGACAGTTCACAGAGTAAGTAAAGTTTGAACTTTAACCCAGCTCGTTGCGCAATAAAAGTCAGAGGATCACAGTCACTAGGTTTCATCATCTGGGCACTATGGATGTCTGTACCAAATTCATGGCAATCCATTCAATAGTCCATCCAATAGTGGTGGACTGCTATCGATAGAGCCACACTGCTAGCGTGGTTAGAAACTACTGTATGGCATGGGTATATTTATGCGTCAAAAAAAAGATGTGAATACAGTGGCCTGAGAGATAAAATGTACCAAGAAGTCACACGAGGTTCACCCTTTATGTCTAGAATATCTATGCAAGCCTCAAATGATAGCCATGTTTGCCAAGATATACTCAAGAAGGGAAACGTTTAGAAAGTTTACTAAAAAATCCTGACAAAGAGTCACATTTTTAGGGAGTAGCTGAGAAGGAGAGAGGTGAAGTGCCACTGCCGGCTACATGGTGATAAGCACATCAAAAAGAAAATAGAGTGAGCTGAAAAAGTGTGAGGTTCAGTCCGGTCAAGGCCGCGGATGGCTGCCGGAGGTGTGACAGCCCTGGAGAAATTACTGAGGGGAGTTGGAGTACAAAACAGTTTTGATGCTCAAAAGATCCAGCTGGAAGAAAAAAAAAATGTCATCATGCGTGCTCACTTGGGATAGTAGCTACTTCTGCATACATACCTGTTATAATAAATTCTTGAGATGGGAATCATGCACAGAATATTCTGTGCTGGCCTTGAGAGAGATCTAGGATTTTGTGAATGCATTCAAAAGGTCAACTGGATGGTTGCTAACACTACAGCCCAGAGACTTCCACAAGTCCTTAATGAGTTTACAGGAAGGTCTGCAGCAAAATAAGAAAGTGTTTAGTCATGCTAGTGTGGTGTGACTCCAGGGATAGCTGCTCTTTTGGTCAGTTTGTCCAGACTAAAAGATGTTCACTATTGGATGTCCTGCCAGGAAATGTGATTTGAGATGTTTGCGTTACCAATAGGATAGATTGTTATAACTTCGGTGATCCCTTAACTTTTTCATCTAGTGCCAATCTGAACAAAATGTGACTTTGTCCAAAAACCCCTATAAATCTAATAGCATTCCCATTAACCTCAGCTTATTGCTAATTAGCAAATGTGGTCATGCTAACATGCTAAACTAAGATGGCAAACATACCTGTTAAACAGGTTACCATGGTCATTGTGAGCATGGTAGTGTGCATATGTTAGCTCAAAACACAGTACAACACAGAGCCAGAAGCAATAGTCTTGTTGATATACATACTGCTGACTATCAGCAATAAAATACTACATCTGGACAAATATCTAAGAGAATTGTATTAAATATAATCCACCTGTTTGTGGCTTTCTGGTAGCCCCTAGATTTAAAAAAGAGTCTCACTAAAAACATTTAACTCAATCTATTTATTAATGACTAGTACAAAGAAGGCTAATTAAGGTATTATGAGGTGAAAACATGGGTATAGATTACAACTGCAATTATAAAAATCTTTTGTGGCACTTTTATAATTAACCTCCAGATGGATTTATCCAGTGATATAAAAATGTGACCTTGCAACAGCCGAGTCTGCAATTTTGCAAACCTCACAAACAATAAATCACTGTTCAGCTGTTCACTCATTCAACTCAATTTATAAACAACGAATAAAGCACAGAAATCTCATGTGAGCACAACATCATCTTCAGTCCAGCACAGCACCTGTAGTTTTGAAAGTATAAAAGGAAGGCCCATAACACTTGGGATTTCTCCAGGCACTAAAATATTTACACCTCAGAGGAAAGGGTTGAAAGGTCTGAGCAGAACAAGCCCTGGGGCACGCCGATCGTGTTTGTCAAGTTCCACGTACTGAGATGCAAGTTTCAAAGCCTGAGAGACAACACTTTGGAGAGCTTTACACATCCGGCTCAAGGATTTTAGTCAGGAAAATGCCTAAGGGTGTAATGGTGAAAAATAAACAAATATAAAAGCAGGCTAATGTAAAGAGGAAAGATGGGGAAGACTTGTTTTAAATACCACTGCCAAGGGAGTAAACAAGTCGCTGAAGCAGAACTATATGAAATCAAAGACAACCTGATAAGTGCTGAAGGAATTTGATGGTTATTGTGTTGCATGAGATGTGGTTACTGATATGACAGTTAAGCAGTACGATCCTTTCTGTAGTCAATGATCTGCCTCTTCTCTTACACTCATCAGGAGCATTTTTAAAAAAGTAAAATACACACATGCAGTGTAAATGCTGTACATGTGTGTGTTATTTTTGATGAATCTTGAAGAGTCTGAGACACACATAAAAACAGTTAATACTCTTTCCCTACCATACCTGTACGCTGCCTGTACATAGCCCTACAGCCAGCACCAACCCCCTGAAGGATGTCAACAGTCGTCGGATCCTGCAGCTAACAGTCCTCAGTACCTGACTAGCTGTCAGCCCTGCTGCCTGGCACAGGACGGACACACACACACAGACACACACACACACACCTGAACTTTTTCCCCAATCATAAAGACACACACAGCAGTAACTTTCTGTACTGCCTGCACATCTTACATGATGTGCAGGCAGCCAGATTTTCTTCACATTAGCTGGTATGTCAGAATGACACTGAAGGTAATGATTTATTACTGATTTTTCCTCCAGTAAACTGGTTGTAAATAACTCCCGATGAGGGAAAGGGAAAATAATAATTTCCTTTTGGTACCAGATTACTTCCAGCTAACATTGGGGCTCCCTCTGGCTTTTGCTCAGGGGACTACAACAGCAAAATGTTTGTGTACTCAATGACGATTAAAAAGTACTTAAAGTACCTAAATCTAAATCTTTCGGAGGTGATAAAAGTATAAAATATACTAAAATGAGGACTATAAAATGCAACAAAACAATGTTGGTTTCATTTCAACAAATATTACAATTTTGGATGGTTTTAATGTCAGACATTATTATGCTCATAGGAACAGGAGAGCAGCAAAATGTCCATGGTTACAGGGACCATTACCATCAAATTACAATGATCCAACTGTGGAAGAACCGCAGTGCAATTGTTGGAAAGTTCCCTTCAAACGAACAAAGGTGATTCACTAACAGAAGTATGTATCACAAGCAAAATACGATACTGTATACGGTCAGAATTAATCCTGTTTGATTGTCAGAGGGTAATCCTAATCATCCTATCTTGTCAGCTGTTTATGTTGCAGGACGCTGTGCAACCTCAGAGCTCTGTTCAACACATTCAGTAGTAGGTTGGGTACGGTTTGAAATGTTTCAGTGCGGTCATAATATTTAAGTTTTGGTACTTTTTTGAGATTCCTCCATTTGAGAAATAAAAATACAATACAAATATAAACAAAGAAGCCTAAGTTGTCAAAATGATATAAAGTCTAAAACACAAGTAGCTGTAAAATAAATAAGCTTAAATAAAATAATGTCAAACTGGCAAAAAAACAGGCTGTTGCACTTTGATACAGTCATTGACCATTGGTAGCCAGTTAGGTATTAGTATTGCTACGTCTCTCCTTAAAAATCATGGTTTAGCAGAGAGTTCAAATCGGAGTGATGTACGGAGTAACTTCAGAGGCAAGTATAATATATTTTGTGTGCATCAACTGCAAGTATCTCATGATTATCCAATGCTTTTTTACATTCTCTCTTCATTTTTAAAACTCAGATTACTAATCATCTGTGCTGCTCTCATATCTCTGGGGCCAGGAGAAGAGCTGTAATTAAAATCATTAACCCCCGTATTCATTAGGACCTTTTAATTAATTAGATTTGCTCTCTGCTGTAGGGTGTGGCCTGGCCACAGCACGGATAAGTCAGGGGACCGTGTGCACGTGTATGTATGTGTGTGTGTGTTTTCAATCAGGACAGGAACTTTTCTGGGATGTCCTCCATATTATTGCAATATGTGCAACAAACACCTGCACTTATACACAAAAACACACACCTGCCACAATGCAAACTAGGACCTCATTCTCTGCCTGCAAACCACAATTTATCACCAAGACAAAGAGCATCAGAGCAAGGAGAGAATGGGGACGGACAGGACAAAAAGGACGAAGAGAGATAAACAAAACAAAAGAGGGAATAAAAATAAAGTATGTTGACAGAGATGGTAAAATATGAAAATAGAGAGCAGGACTGAAGAGTGTTGAGAATACAAATCACAGGTAAAAGGCAAAGCAATGAGGAGTGGAGGGAGATGAAAGCGGTGTCTTCAGTCGACCTGACGTACAGCAGTGACAGTGACAGTGCTAATGTCAGACATGCAACATGCAATGACACACACACACACACACACACCAACTTTTATTTTAATAATGTGACTGCATGCTTGATTGTTAAGTGTGCTCTTTATAGATACAAAGTACACCAGAGAGGATAAATGAAAGCTTTTTATTATTCTGAGGTGAGTGCTGTGTGGACATGCGTAGCAAAGATGTGAAAACTACTTTTGTTAAAAGGAATAGTTCAACATTTTGGCAAGTACGCTTCTTTGCTTTCTTGCTCAGTAATTAGATGACAAGATCAGAACTGGAAGGCAATTACCTTAGCTTAGCATAAAGACCAAGCGCAAAAGAGGAATCAGCAAGCCTGGCTCTGTCCAAATGTCAAAACGAAAGACTCGAAAAGACTCCAATAAGGGGCTGCAACTTGTCGCATTTACATTTCTGTTTTTGTACACTAGAATAAAAGCTAGATATGACATGTCAATTAGTTTCTTAAGAGACGCTGGAAGGCTGATTTCAGACTCTGCAAATTGTCTCCTGGATGTAGCATTAAATTTACTGCAGATATGAGAGTGATAGATCTTCTCATCTAACTCTGGCCGAAAAGAAAGCGAACAAGCACATGTGCCAAAATGTCAAACTATTCCTTTGCGCAGAGCAGTCCCACTGACAACACATTGGGTTCATATCACGTCCCCACGTGAAAAAAATGTGATTCTGTTTGGTAGTAGAATGAGGAAGGGCTGCAAACTAAGGATTATATTTATCACTGATTCACCTTTTGATTTTTTCCAATAACATTTTAATCATTTAGTGTAAAAAGTAGAGCTGAAATGATTAGTCAATTAATCGAGAAGTTGAAAATTCATCTGCAGTTATTTTGATAATTGATCATTATAATTGATCATAATCATTTGAGTCATTTTTAAAGCATCTTATAAAATGTGAGGTTTTGCTATTTTTCTTGGTTTTATAGAATTGTAAATTGAATATCTTTGGGGTTTGGAATAGTAGTTGCACAAAAAAAAACAATTTGAAGACATCACCTCTGGGCATTTTTATACATAAAACAATGAATGGATTAATTAAGAAAATGCATATTATCAGCATATTAAGTGATAATCAAAATCATCATTAGTTTCTGTCCTACACACAATAGTGATAATTTTCAAGTACCCAAGGTGAAGTTTTCAAATTGCATGTATTCTGTCCAAAACCCCAAACATATTAAATTTACAGTAATTTAAAATAGAAAATCTTTCAATTTCTAAAGCTAGACCTCATTTAGCATTTTTTCTTGATAAACATTGTTGTTTGGAGTACCTAAAATTAATAAACAAATTTTTACACTTACAGTATGTACTGTGGGTCTAAATGTGTTTTCTACCTTTACAGTCCCATCTTCCTGGCCCAGGACCACAGCAGAAAGCTGCCTGCACATACACGTACACCGGATCCTGGACGACTTCTCCTCCGACTGGAACAGCACTGATCCTGTCCTGCCATCACGCACCTGACACACACACACACACACACACACACACACCTCTATGACAACCTGACAAAGGCTGATAATAGTACAGTAATATGTCATTTGAATTCACAGAAAACAAACACACATTCCTGCTTCAACCAGCCTTTTATTCATTCAGTCGTTCTCTTTATTTTCCCTCTGGCTCACCTGCAGTCTGTTGCGGTTGTCTGCAGCTGACACTATGATTTCTTCATTATTGAAGAGAACGTCAGAGTCTCTTTTCAGGCAGACAGCTGAGGTGGTGTGCACCTTCTTAGTCTCCCATAACTAAAAGAAACACAAGACAGGCAGCAGGCCTGAGTGAGAACATGATGTACATACATACAGCCGATATTTCCCTTTTCTCATGTTTGTGCTCTTCTTTGTAACTTGGATTTACACAGAGGCATTGATCTTAGGTTAGAAAACCTCTGCATTGCCGAATTAGTTTCCGTGGTCAGCGATGTTTCTTACTTACTGCATCTTTTGCCTGACTTTTCATTGTTATGCTGCAGAGAAATACCCTGGAAATAACCTTTCGGTGGCAATAAATAAGTCATCAGTATCTGTCCCTTGCATTTTTGTTTGGCATTTCAAACTGAATGTAGTTGCTCTGTTAAGGTTTTAGTTGCTGTTGGTGGTGGATATTGCCTTAATGGTCATGTTGAAGGAGCCAGTATACTTCATCATAGGACTGGGCGATAAAACAATAACTATGGCTATTCTTAACCACATTTTTGGCCATATCGCACAGCCCTACTGCGTCAGAACGTTTAGCCAAATAGAGACAGGAAATGTTTGAGACGCCCCATTCCAATATAACTGCTTGTCGGATGGTCGAATAGCTTTGGAAACCCTACACCTTTCCAACACGGGATTAGCAGGGCTGTGTCCAACCATTTCTGGTTCCAAAACTGATGATCTGACTGACAAATCTGAATTTTTACTTACTTATCTACAGTACAATACAATCCGTACTTACAGATGACTTCCTACCACAAAATAATAATGAGCATTAGGGTGAAATAAAGAATCTGAGGCAGTATATGCAGAATGCTCTATTGCAGCTTTGGTTTGGTATCTAAATAAAAACCATGTTTTTACCACCTTGATATAAAAAAAAAAGACCATCCTAAAAGGCTAAACTTCAGGAAGATTTAATATTATGACTTTGTTTTCAGGCTGTTTATGGTACATTATTGCTTCATTTAAGGGAATGATCAGGACAAATCAGTTTACATAACCCCAATAATAAAGGGCAAAGCCTAAAGCAAGTCAAGGCAACAACTGCTAGCTTCTTCCATAACACATCATACAGTAGCTGTTTATTATTTATATTGTGACTGAAAACGGTTAGTTTACTATGCTTTCAAAAATACAAAATAATAGAATCTTTGCAACAAATGCTACAACACAATTCCTTAGGGTTCCTCATTAGGGGATGAAATCTAACAGCTGGCAGAGGTGCAATTAGGACAGAGTGCAATTAGTCAATTTGTGATTTTCAGTGTTAGTATGACTTTGATTTTATAGACACAAGAAGTAATTAGAACAATACTGACAGTATCTGTGCAAGCTGATGCACTAATGAAGATACAGGACATCAAACACACTGAGTCAGTCTTACCCTGACAGTCTGGTCGTAAGAGCAGGAGAGCAGCTGTGAGCCGTCAGGAGAGAACTGGACACGCTGAACCCAACTCAGGTGACCACTGCAGTCAGCCATCTTCTTATTGGCCTCCAAGTCCCATAGCTGGGAGACACACACATATGGATGACTGTACACTTACAGGTATTCACCAGTGTATTTAAATATACTATTATTTTTATCTTACATAGCATTTTAACAGGGTGTCGGAGGGACATGCCTGGATGCATTTTTTACAGTAAACATCCAGGCAGAATTAGAGAAATGATCAGAAAGAGAACAACTTAAAAATTAAAAAGTTTTTCCACATAAAAATAATTTCTACATCTGCAGTTTAACAACAAAAAAGTGAAACCTAATAAACACGATTTATTATATATAAATGTTTTGAACATATTAGATAAATATGTTGTGTGTATGCAAGTATGTATTATACCTCCACAGCATAGTTGGAGAACGCGATAGCCAGCAGGTTACTGGTAGCACATGCGTGACAGTACTGCACCGTGCTCAGACGATTTGTTCTGATCTCCAACAACATGTCCGATGTCTCCACGTCAAACACCTGACAAACAGTGACAGAAAGACAACAAGTCAGAGTCTGCTCGCTCTGAGCATAACATGGCTACCATTCCCACTTCTGGCATATTTAAAAATAATGTTACAATTTTAAATAATAAACTTTCCTCTCTATAATATGTACTGTCAATGTAAATGCTCCGTATTTGTATAGCGCCTTTCTAGTTTTTTCGACCACTCAAAGCGCTTTTACACTACATCTGCATTCACCACATCATACGCATAGCAATAAGTGCTCAAACAGAAACATTCACACACATTCATACACTGGCAGAACAGCCGCCAGGGGCAATTCAGGGTTCAGTATCTTGCCCAAGGACACTTCAACATGCAACCAGGGGGAGCCAGGGATTGAACCGCCGACCTTCCGCTCTACCTCCTGAGCCACAACCGCCCCGGCTGCAGTGTTGACTGCCCCGGTCACTAAAGAACCAATTATGGCTATTATGAGCAAACAATCGAATTACACTCACTTTTCTCAAATTTAACCACTTTTTTACAAATGCAATAAAAATTTGCATTCACCCACCTTTTAAGATGATAATATACTATTTGTCAGACCCTAAGAAATGATAAGTATTTGAGGCGAATGCCAATATCAATATTTGAGAGTTTAAGAAATGCAAAGTGACAATTTGGCTGTTGTGTTAACAGATATAACATAAACAAAATACTTACTGTGATAATTATATACAAAATTTGGTTATTAAAGAATTGTGAGGAAGATACATACTCTGGTGGGCAAACTATGCAATGGAAATACTGCTTCAAAAATGACCTCAAACATCTTTTTATCATTTTTGTACTGCAATTTATATACATCGATCCCAATAAATAAGCTAAAATCAGGCATGCCAAAGTAAAGGTTGGCTCTACTATGTACTTGTATTGTAAATCGAGTGTAATGAGTTGTACAGTAAAATAAAAAAGTATTATATTGTACCTGAAGATTAAAACCTAAAGCGAACTTGCAAAGTCTCATTTTCCCTCTCGTAAAAGACAAGTTCAGACATCTCTGCGGTGTTTGGGTTGTTTCCCAGAATAAGAACTAATGAAGAAGTAGAGGACACACAAAGACTGATTACAAGACTGACTGATTTTGGAAAGCTCAGGGTTGGCGGATGGGGTGGGTTGCTCACATTTACAACCAGGACACACACTCTTGAATCTCTCAAAGACAAACAGCTTCTCTTTCCTGTCTCCTTCAATGAAATTACTCACCAACAACAAGGGCAGGGAGGACGAGGTGAACCCTGTGGCGTTGGATTTTATACAACAAGGCAGATCAAAACCATTTACACCCTCTTTATCACACATTTCTGCACTCCCCACACAACAACACTCTACAGCATCTCCACTCGGGAACCTTTCAAACAAATGCTGACATTCTAATATGCTCACCAGAACAGCGTTCCTGGCTGCACATATGATGCGTTTGCCGTCAGCAGTCCAGGTGCTGCACTTGACAGGGACCTCTTCATCGCTCTCTGTAAACATGTCCCTCACATTGATTGTCTTCCACTCATTGGCAGACGACACCTGAAACAGCTGTATATGTGCAGGAACACACACAAAAACACGTAGTCAGAGGAGAGCATGCCAGTACAGAAAAAGTTATGCAAGTATTGTAGCTTCAAAGCATCTGTGAACACAAACCTATGTAAAATGTGTAGAAAACGCAGTACATTTTTGAACAGTCTTTAGAAAAGGTACTGTTTTGGAGTTAGGGAACTTCCTGGTATCTCTCCTTGATGTGTCATCATACTAATTTCAAAAAACACTAGTAATAGACATGCATTCACAATAACTTAGTTGAACATTTACAAAATAACTTCATAATTTACTTTCTGAAGTAATTAAGTAAATTCTGAAGTAACAAAATAGTAAAACTGTTGTTGGTTGGAGATACTGCACGTGTATATAGTTGTAGACTCTTTTGCTGTTGAAATCTGTTACTTGTGTACCGCACATTTTTTGCACTGATGTTAGAAGTAACAATAAATATGTTTATAGTGCAAAGAACTCACATAAATCAAGTACAGTTTTATGTGAATAGCCCTGGGAAAGGACAGCTTTACAAGTATCTAATTGAATGGCAGTCACCTTAACGGTACCATCATTAGAGGAAGTGGACACATAGGTGTCATCAGGGGAGAAACAGCAGTGGTTGACTGGCTCGAAGTGGCCAAACAAGGTGTTCTGGGAGGATGGCTTGTTGAGGTTCCACAACTGCAGAAACAAAGAGAAATGCAGTGAGAAAGAGAGACAGATAGAAGAGAGAGAGAGAGAGAGAGAGAGAGAGATGAGGGCAGAGAAGGTTGCTTGTTGTAACAAAGTTAGTGCAGCAACTTCCTTAAATGGTAACAAGACAAATAAACAAAACAAATAAAGCAAAAAAACAAAAACTCGCACACCTTGGCATTTAAGCATTTGTCGTTGGAGCAGGTGGCCAGCAGGAGGCGTCGTGCTGTGTTGGTAAACTGACAGTAGTTGACCTGCTCCTCATGCTCGTCAAAGACCCTTAACAGCATGGCTTGCTCCAGGTTCCACACCTAAGAGACACACAGTTTCAAGAATTTTCTGATAAAATGACTGGCTCCAAAAGTGCGTCAGTCCCCGTAAACAGTTTACCTTGACTTTCCTGTCACTGGAGCAGGTTGCTAGGAGATGGTCATTGGGGGAGAAGGCACAGCAGAGCACCTCATCATCATGGGCCTGGATCTCTGCGAGATTCTCACCTGAGGTGCTTTTAAACACCTGAGCACAAGACAATATGACAGAAGTTATACATTTGTTGTACATTCAGTAAAAGTACTGTGTTATCCATTAGGAACTAAACTCATTTTGCTATACTACAAAAAATATTTCTATATTCAGATGTATGGATCATAACTTGGAAGAAACATGGCTGCTTTGATACCTTGACTGTCTTGCTAGCTCCACTGGTGGCGATCTTGGCTCCATCATGGGAGAAGCAGGCGGAGTAGATGGAGCCCTGGTGGGGGTGGATCACCAGACGGGACAGACTCTCTACACTGCTCTTATTCCTGCACAAAAAACACACAAATAAAAGTCCAACCTGGGATACACAGCCTATGATCACCATTTTTGTATTGTAGTTTTGTAAAATGTATAATACGGCTAATATACAGGTTATTGTTCTGTGTACTAGAACTCTGTTGCACTGGATGAATTAAATCCAAGTAGAGGACCAAGTTGCATTTATCTCAATAAATCACTTTAAATGTGATAATCTGTTGCCACTGCATTATTCCATTTCAGATACATTAAATTGTCGTGAATGTTTCATAAAATAACTGCAGGTTTCAATTAGCATGAGAGCCAATTTACACATGATGGTCATAAATTAAACTTAATAGAAACATATAGTTAAAACTGCATCTAATTAGCTTTTATCTCATAATGTAGGAGCTGCAGAAATAGATGCACGACAAGATCAATGCATCACTCGATTTTAACTTCATTATTACAACATCAGAACACCATAGTAAAATATCAGCTTGCTTGCATACAGCCAGTTGAAGTAGAGTTTCCCTTTGCTGGTCCGGTCCTGCGCCTGCAGCAGAGCCTGTCTGTACACCTCGGAGGTATGTGGCTGAGACAGAGCAAGCTGCACCACGTCAGGGAAAGGACGCTGCTCCAGCTGGTGGCCGTTCAGAGACAGAAACTCTTGGAATTGACTACGCACTTCACTGTTCTGGGTGGAGAGAAAATAACCTCACAATAAAGTACACTGCACAACACTGGTCCCTCATCATCAGGGCACAACTATTCTTAAATAATTTCTTTATGTTAACAGCTTGTTTTGTGGAATAATTACATTTGTACCCTTTTCATATCTGTCACCTAACCATAAGGGTTTACCCCAATCCTCTTCTTTGCTTGTCAAACCTTTTTCCATTTGCTAAGCGTTAGGTAAACTTTGTCTTAGTAAAATATTATGAAAATGATGATGAAAATCTGTGTGTTTTTACATTAATGCAGGAGTGACTCAATTTTATAAGAAATAAAATCCATCAATTCAAAGTCATTAATTGAAAAAAGCTTAAAAAGTTTTAATCTGTCCAACCTTTCAGTTATACTGTGTTTGGTTATACCTGTAATTTATATGGACAAAAAAAATGAAATCTTAGCAACACATATATTGGACACAAGATTAAATTGTTACTACATCATAAATTACTGTTATTAAAACAGGTGTGGGAATTACGAGTCGTAGCCCCATGATTCCCCACTCATTGAAAATTGGGAAAGGAACAGCATAAACATAGAAAAGCAAGACACTTACTGAAGGAGCCATTTCAGTGTTTTATGTCCAGGTATGGTCTTGTAGGTGGTGCTAGGGTGCTGGGATAGCTAATTGGGGCTCATCTACTTAGGAGGGCAGGTGCAATCAGACACAAGTGTTGCCAGAGGGGAAAAGCCTAGAAAAAACTAGTTTTTGACCACCAACGATGCTGTGGCTGTTTGTTTGATATTGTGACACTGTCAATGAAGATGGAACATTGTTCCGTTATGGGTATTGAAGACCTTATGTGTAACAATAAATCACATCTCTCATGACAGAGAAGAAATCAGAACTTGAACTCCTGTTACATTCTTTCTGAACTGAACAAGCGGCCACGGTAAGCGCGTCAACTACTTTAACCCTTTGCGTGGCCCTCATCTGCTTTAAGCTTAGGCTTAGCGGTTACACTAATGTTTATGAAAATCAAAAACAATTTATAATAGCAGCAGATGTGCCCTCTTGAATACCCTTTTGTAAGTAAAACAAGATAATGTGCCCTCTATGGTGTCCCAGTGTGCAAGAAAATGTGATGCAGCGCCCTAACAGGCACCCTTTCAATAGAAAAATTGTGATGCATTGCCCTCAAGGATGTCCCTTTGGGTGAGATGATGTTGTAAAGTGCCCTCCAAGGTGCCCCTATTTGCAAACAATGTGATGAAGTGCCCTCTGGGTGCCCTTCCAATGAAAAAAAATTGTCATGCAGTGCTGGTATACCGAGGCCAAATACCCCAAATGGACCCATAGAACTTTTGTTTTGTTTTTTCGCTCCAGCCCTTTAGACAGCCTGAGTCGGCCACTGCTTTCATACATTGTATAGCTATGTTGTCTGCTGACCTCTTTGTCCAGAATGGGTCCAAACTCCACATAGTCATTGATGAGGTGAGCTGGTCCCATTATCTTGGACTTGATGCTGACCCAGTCCAGAGAAAACATGAGGGAGTAGAGCTCCTAGACAGAGAGAGACAGAAAGACATGGTGAGCAAGAAAGAAAAATAAATATAACACCCTCTTGCTAAGTCTGCTGTACAATAATCTTTTTCATCAGTATATATCACAATAAAACAAATACAGGCAAAATTATAACAGTTAAATTAATTAATAGTTAATTAAGTCAGTTAAATTAACTGTGTTCCACTACATAAGGAAACACTCTATACATGCCTTGTTTGGTTAGTTTCTAAGCACAATTATCACTAGTTATTTGTATAAATGAATGAGATTTTTTTAAATGATTAGAGAAATGTATAAAACTATGTGTGTGTGTTACCTGGGAGAGGTTGGCTTTGGCCATGTGGTAGGTGAGGAATCTGATCCAGTAGAGACATTCCTCATCTCCAGAGGTGGGGGGACCATCTCTGTAGTGCTGCTGGTACTGATGAACCACCTTAGCGTGGAGGCTCTGAAACACACACAAAAAGAGTCAGAATTAATAAACCAATGGCTCACTTTCTTAGATTTATAATGAAAGACTGTCATTATAATCACTATGACCTGTTGATGTAATTGTCACAATTACATTTTTATAATGAAGCCTTACCTATACTTACATATAATACAACCAAATAAAGTATAATTAAATAATGGATGCGTTCAAAAAAGAATCAAACCAAATTTGGCTCACTTTGCTGAGATGTTAGTAAGGTTCATTTTCACAGCAGGCTAATGATTGTCATTGAAAAGTCTCTTGCACGTCGATTGAGAATCCCCACCAATCATGCACCAATATTACATGTGTTAAGTCTAACCATTTTTGCTGGTAAAATGTAATCTGTGGAAACATTGTGGAGTAAATTGTAGAACAAAATGATGCCCCTTAACAACGCAGGAACACACATATTAGACTTATGTCCATGAATCTATTGTCCCAGTGCATGCTGGGTGGGTTTCCAATACACATATCTCATGTACCTGCAATAACATGATCAACGCTTAGCCAGTCTTATGAATGATTATCATGGTTTTAACTAATTTTGCATTCATTTCAAAATAAGAGTACACTGTTATTCAAGACAACTTAATCCAGGATTAACAAATCAATCCTCAATCTGCTTTCAAAGAACCAAATTAAATGGGTGTGATAAAACAGGATTGTTTTAGCAGGTCACAGCATGTTACCCTGAATTAGTTAAGCCATATTTGAAGGACAAGGCCCTGGCCTCTGAGGCTGAGATGTGTTAGCAAAGTAAGCACATGTGGGTAAGGTTAGTTAGCACGCAAGCAAGTTCTGCCCACTTAACAAAAAGATTGAAGTCCAACTGTTTTAGCTCTTGTAAACCAGCATGCAAACTAACCTCAAGCTGAGTGCGATTCTGCTCCACCAGGAAGTCAAGCTGGAGGTCATGGAGGTAGTACAGGTTGGGTTTATTGTGACTGTCCATAAAAAGCAGAGACTTGTTGACAAACTCCCCAAGAATGTCCTCCACATCCTCCGGCTCCAAGTCCCAAAGAACAGACAGCACCTGGAAGAAGGAATAACATTGTAGCTTGTGTATTTTCTGAGTGATGGTCCATTTCTTTGTTTTATTCGGTGAAAGAGTTTGCCCATAATTTCTCCAAGTACTGAAACATAGTGGGATGTTTTTTCTCCCCCTACATTTCTGTGAAAGGTTACATCCAGCAAGACAAGCAGAATGAAACATGTTTTGGTTTTCTAATGTAAAACCCAAAAATGACCAGTTTTGGAAATCAGTTAAGCACAAATACATAAAGAGGGCCATGCGACCATAGCTCTCGCTGTGTAGACAAACCTTTGCAGGGACTTTGATGTCCTTCTCCAGCACAGTAAAGTCCTTGTAGAGCTCTCGATGTTCATCAGGTAGGACTTCAATGCTGGCCGCCATGGCTTGGTCGAGGGCGTCGTAGTCATAAGACGATGACTTCCTTATACGCTTGAACTGCTTCTGCTGCAGCTGGCCGAGGTAGTAACGCCAACGGTTAGGTTTCTCTTTGAGTAGAGCCCCGATCAGGGAGACAACCAGAGGGGAACCTGGGACAGTAGCACATGGAATCAGAAAAGTGTGTGTTAAAGTCACAATATGTGAGCGCCATAGAACATAACAAGAGTTCCAAAGATAAATCATAATATTCTCCCATGCCATCAAGGGTAATTTACATCACCAATATTAGTGAATCCAGAATAAAAATGAAGTCTTTGTTTTCTTTTATAATCCTAAAAGAAATATGTTAGATCTACACGCTACATTGTATATGTAACAGTATCTGTAATTTATATTTTAAAGAAAATTACAGATTGCATGTGTATGTTTCAGTTTACAGACCTTTGCATTCTCTGACAATGCTGCGAGCCTCCTCAGGAAGTCCCTGGAGTTTAGTTTTAGTGTACAGAGCGAGGATCTCCAGCCCCTTTTTTTCATCCAGACCACTCTCCACTTCCACCTCATGTTTAGCACCTACAAAATAAAAGTACAGAACACATATTTTTGTAGGCATTATAGTATTTTCCAGTTTTATTTGTGTTTGTATAGTGACCATAGTAAAAAAAATAGGGTACATACCACTAACAGAATCAGCGAGGCTTCTATTTCTGGTGGTCAAAAGAATCCGACAGTGGATATCGAACGCCTTCAGCACTGTACTGTCCCAGATATCATCTAGAATCAGCAACGCTCTACAGCCCAAACAGAGACAGCCACATGACAAGAGACAAGAACACAATGAAACAGTGTTTACCACCTACAGTGGCTAGTGTTATGGCAGATTAACACATAGCTCTTTGCAGAGTGTATTTGCACTGCATATAGATACAGATGAATAAAAAAGGAGATGATACACAAAATGTATTATCTAGTCTTCTTGCAGTTATTAGCACTACTACTACAGCTAACAGTACAATTCAAATGTCCATCTGTATATTATTAAAGTAAATATCCAAATGAAATCTACTGGAAATTTTCAAAAGCACCAAATTTAAAACGCCCCCCTCATACTGTATGTATTTGGTTCAATGAATAAATATATATCTGTCTTTTAATTTGGAGTAATGCTATCCACCATTTTCATGTTTTATGTCTAGTCACTTTACTGAAAACATTTCATTGTTTTTCTTTTACCAAACAAAAATGTACTGTTGACTTGACATTTCAAAAATGCAGAAAACAATGGCAAATTGTTTTATTTGCTTAGTATAGTTGCCTATATTGATAATGGAGTGGTATCATGTAGTTGTTCTTACTAATTGTTTTCCATATTGCTATTTGTATTGTATTTATTGCTTACATGTTTACTGTGGCATTAGTCCATGCTAAAAATCAACAAGCCCATTTGCCTTGTGTTGCAGTTTTGCATCTTGAATCGACATTAGAATATGAACCGTAACATCCATTTAAAAAGGCACAGAGCAGGTCGTGTTAATCTGAACATATAGTAACCTCGGATATCTGCGCAGCATGAGGAAGCGCAGGCGCTCCTTGGCCTCATCCAGAGAGTTGGGCGTGCGGTGGAGGGACTGGGAATCCAGGCTCTGTTCCAGACGATAACACAATGACTGGATCTTCACCAGCAAGTCTGGTTTGTCCAGCTGGCCGATGGACAGCCAGTGAATGCCTCCGGGGAAGCACTCTGCAGATGGAAGCAAGAGGAGGGGGAGGGAAAAGAGGCATGAGGTGAGAAGTTGATGAAAGTTAACAATTAAGCAACATTTTTGACGCTGCAACATCATTGAGAATAAAATCAGCCCAGGAGTACTACAAATTTTGAATGTTTTTTCTTTCCGTAGTCTTTGACTGTTTCAAAATAAGGTACGCTGATAGTTAGTTTAGCAGTGTCAGCCAGTTAAAAATTAGTCACCATTAATGAGGTCACGGTCTCGGACAGCCTCAGCAGCCAGGACGGATTTGCCCGAGCCAGCCATTCCAAAGACAGTGATCCAGCCAGGGTCCTTCTGCAGCCGGTAGAGTTTCTCCCTGACACGGTTCACAAGCTCTGGTCTGTTGACAAACACAACGGGCCTCTGTGGTACCCCACCTTCACTGAGCACCGTCTCGACTGTTAGACAGACAGAAAAGACAATAAGGGCAGATAAATTGTGTGTTAAAGTTTTCAACTTTCCAAGTGCAAAATGACACCTTCATAAATTTGAAATTGAGCCTGTCAACATTTACACACTTTTTAACTCATGATGTATTAAGCTACGGTAGTAACTCTAGATGTTTAACCAAAATAGCACACACAACCATGATATTTTTCCCTCCGGGATGCTGACAACACAACCTCCAAACCTTCCATTCTCTCCACTGGTGAAAACACCCACGACTGCCCTTCCTCACCACAGGGTGTGAAGCTAACATAGGAACTCTTATGTGCATCAGGTGACGTCTGCGGTAGGTCATCATGAAGCAGACTGGCCAAATCATTGTATGTCTCCTTGACCAGGGCGTTGTAAAAGGAGATGTAGGAACGGTTGTCCTTCCTCAGCAGCAGATCCAACAGGGCCACAGCCTGATCCTTCTTGGTGGGCTGGGGAGACAGAGAGAGAGAGACTTCCTAATATGCATTTTACATGCTGCTACTTTGAATGGCCAGTGCTGATATTTAGAAAGCATGGCAGCAAGCCATCCGATGGCCGATATATAAAGCGGATATTAAAACAAAGAAAAGTCATGTATATCTCCACTATTCCATGCAGAGTACAATCTAAAATACGTGGTTATTTTAGCCAGTAACATGTTGTTTTAGATGATTTCTTAATAATTAATAAAATAGAAAAATACATTGGGTTATGCCGTAGATGTCAGAATGTGACTGGTGTTTAAGGGGGAGTGGGGTTCAGAAGTAACGCAATTCAACTGCATTATTCTTCACGGTATAACAATATATATTTAATGCTAGCCAATAATGGTTTTGTATTAGATGGGAGAAACGTGTTAACATTTAGAAAAGATGATTTAGGGCTCAGAACTCACTTTTTTACCACCTTCCCAAAACTCGCAAGTGGGAGAGCTAACATCGTTCCACAGAGGCCACACAAACAAGGAGGCCTGCAGATGTTTCCGCAGACATTTTTTGTGAGTGCAACTTTCGGCTGATGTGGATTATCTCAAAATGCCAGATATCACTACTATTATCCCTGATACTGTACTCTCTCAAAAAGTAAATCTGCTCAATCATCATTAGGTAACTGAAAAAGAGTACCAGCTAATTGTTGAAAGACAAAAAACAGTTTCTGGATATAAATAGCATGATTAAGTGGGACAACATTCAGTAAAAAAAAAATAAAATAATGGAGGACAGAGGCTCACTAAGTCCAAATGTAGGATAGGAGGCAACATTGCTATAAAAATGGATTAATAAAACATCACTGAGTAAACAAAAAATAATTTTACAACTGATAAAATCTTGGACAAAAGATTGATAATGTTGGTGGCAAATGTGTGAGTCCGTTTTGGAAAAAGAGTAAAGCCATCAAATAACGGAAGGAAACCGGAACAAAAAGCAGCAACATACAAAAAAAAAACATGTTAAATAACATTGGTACCAAATTATGGATAGATCCCCTTCAACTTCCCACTCTGAGCAGAGGCTCACCTTGTTATTGATCCTCTCCTCCTCATCCACAGTCAGCACACCATCACTGATCATGTGGTCCATCAGGTAGGAGGGCTTGATGTCCTGCTCCAGTCTGTGGCGAAAGCGCAGCAAACAGCTCCGCGCTCGTTCCTGCAACGCCATCTCTGCGCGACACACCGAACATTCAGGATCCTACTGTACTGCAAATTAATGGAGGAGATACACAGAAATTTGATAAACTTTAATGATGTACACTTTAAGACCAAAAGTATGTGGACGCCCAAACACTACAGTCATATCTGTTAAACTATGTACATTAATACCCTTCCAAAAACAGCTTCCACTCTAGTGGGAAGGATTTTCACAAGATTTTGGAACCTGGCTGCAGGAATTTTCTTCCATTCAGTCACAAGAGCGTTAAAGAGTTGGGGCACAGTCGCCATTCCAGTTCATCCCAAAGGTGTCGAGGTTGGGTCGAGGTCAGTGCTCTGTGCAGGCCAGTCAAGTTCTACTAATGATGTCTCATTAAGTGTAACTCTACTTTTATACAGTCGGACTCTTCCTTTACCAAACAGGATTACTGTCATACTGAAATAGGAAAGGGCTTTCCCTGAAACAAAGTTTTCTTACAGGCGCTATGATTAACATGTCCCTTACTTTTGTGTCCCAGTGGCCTATAGGCTAAAACATGTAGTTGCAAAATCCCGGGTTCAGGTCCAGACCTGGTTACATGTCATCCCCAAGCCCACTATCCCTGGCCCCTCAATTTAAAATAATATACATGTGGCTAAAACAATCTGTTGATTAACTGAGTGACAGGCAACTGATTAATCCTTTTTCGAAATGCTGTTAGACTTTACATTGGGCTCCAAAAGAGAATAATGTGGACACTTTTATTCACTTATTGTAATTATAACTATGTGCCGGAAACCCAAAAAGAAAAAGAGGAACATGAAGATCCTAAAAGTGAAAATACAAGAGCTTATCTGCTGTTCACAGAAGCCTCACCGAGGTCAAACTCTACAATACAGAAGGGACATTTCATAGAGTTTACAAAGTCTCCATAATATTTAGTTGTAAAGTAACAAGGTCAATATTTTGACAGCTTACCGGCCTGAATAATGTAACGTTTATCGATTAATTTCACTATAATTAACAAAACGCTGTGAGTACAGCTACTTTTTGACAGCTCTATAGTATCTGACGCTGTATGTTAAAGCAAAAATAATAGTGCAAGTCTGAGCTAAACTTAACTCTGCTTACATACTTTATCGCGACTTTTCCTCTTATCACTTACCTTACTAAAGTTAGACTGACGCTTTGCTCATTCCAATACTTGTCTCGACAAGTTCTCTCACCTGCTGGTAAATTAAACAAAGAAAGTAATCATCAGTAGATACTTACGAATGTCTTCTTTTCTTCAACGGGGCAGGTATTTGTTGAACTGTATGTGGTTGTCAGGTGAAGTCCCTTTTTAAAAATCCAATGGGTAAAAACAATTGTCTGTGTTGACGTTATACTACACACCCAATTTTGAAAGAAGAGCTTCCTGATTGACAACAAAAACACCTCGCTCGCTGTGAAGCAGCCAATTGCGTGACGATATTTAAACCACGTGAGCGGTGAGGTCATGAATTTCACGATTCTGTCAGAGCCCTGTAACTGGGCAAACTGACGCCGCTTTCATGGTCTATTCCTTTGTTCGGAAAGACGTTTTTTAACTTATTTAAACACCCTTCATAAAGGTAATAATTATCCCCATGCGAAGATTTAGTTCCAATGTCGACAATTTGATTTGTAAAGTCGAACGGCATTTACTGCTACAGATAGACTAAGTTGAAGAAATGCGCATTACTATTGTGTTTTTTGAACTTTTAAAATATTTTACCAAAAGCTGTTGTGTATAGCACCTTTCTTCTAAATTAGTGACACAATCTCAGTGTTTTCCGTCTGCTAAATATTACTATATACATTTTAAGTGTCCATTTGTGTATGCAGCGCCTAATTGTGAGATTTCCATACTGCGTTTAAATGCAACATTGCTGCCTAGTGAAGAGATGAGAGCATGTTGTTTATTCCACAGTACAGTGATGCGCTACCACGGAAGCGCGTTATAGGGAAGCGCGTTGCATAATAATAATAATAATAATAATGCATTACATTTATATTGCGCTTTATCATGGAAACTCAAATCGCTTCACACTGAAGTTGGGGGGATTCACTTTAACCATCACCAAAAACATACACCAAAGAGAAAAAATAGAAACCTTACCTCGTAATTACGAGATCGTAACAAACTAGTAAACTAAAAAGTTTGGCAATCAGTCATCGCGGACCTAAGCCTACCACAGGAAAGTGGACAATGATTAATCTGCTTTTATTTCCTTCTCTGTATGAATGAGACACTGGGAAATATTCATGTTACTTAATGTGGGTGGCATTAATATTAGCAGGCTATGTCAACAATGCCGCAAATCGTGTCACAACAGATTTCAAAATTAAATTGCTGGTGAACATTATGTACTACCTATTCAATAGGTAGACTGTGGCAGAAATGAAAGATGAAATGAAATAATGAAATAAATAAATGATTAAGATTGGCTGGTCTACGATATGGCTTTTTCATTGCACAGCATATGTTACAATTCACCTTACATAAAAATAGCAAGAGCAAAGTACAATATGCAAAATATAAGTAACAGGCCGATCTGATAGGCCTAGGCTACCTGCTGAGATACAGCCAGCTGCCTGCTTAATTTAAAGGATAGCCTAGTCCCTATTACAATCAGTGTTGAAGCCACCGGCCTCTGATATAACCATAGACTGTAGGAAATAACATACAGTTTTATAACACAAGTCATGTTTACCATCACATCATCTGTATGCCTACATCAAGGTAGTATTGGTGACTATTACAAGTATTGATCTTCAATTTCTTGGCAATTTCTCACATGGAATAGTCTTCACTTCTCAGAACAAGAATAGACTTAGGCCTATGCGTAGTTTTTGGCCATTATGAGCCTGTAATGGAATGCACAATGGCTGATGCTCCAGACACTCAACTAGTCTAAAGGCCAGTTTTATTGCTTCTTTAACAGCACAACAGCTTTAAACTATGCTACCATGACTTCAAAATGGTTTTCTAAAGATCAAAGGTAAACTTGGATTAGCTAAAAATTTGCTTATCCTTCCTGAAAACAAGATCATCTCAATGTGATTTTTGAACATAGTGTAAGCTATAGGCCTATATATTGTGTGTATACATTTTGAAAATCAACATGACACTGCTCTAGTCATCACTATCTCTCTGAAGTGAAATATAAGACAATTTATAGGGCTGTCATTTTGAAATCCTACATCAGATAGCTACATTGGCTGTGGGACACTGAGGTAGTCTGGTAGAAAATTCACTGAAAGATTTGCCCACATATGTTGCCAAATCACTTCAAATCTCTCCTTGAATAAATTAAGACACTTTTCTTTTTGAAGTTTTATTATATTAATTGTGGTACAGAAGCTAAGAACAACAACTTCCCACATTTTCATGTAAACTTCTGTAAAAGTACGTAACTGCTTTTCTTTGTGCATCACCGAGTCCCATGGACATTTTGGACACAATCACTTTGAGTTCAGCACCTTTCATTTCCCCTAACTCCCAACACAGCAATACTGTAACAACTACACTACCTCAAAATTTATCAAACATAGCAAGTACATCAATAAAACTATTCCACTGGCAGCAAGTAGGTAGAAGTATGGAACACACAAGTTTTAATTTTTTCTTTCACAATTCTTCTGTTTATGTACATGTTTTTATTTCACAATTGCTTTGGCAATGAAATGTCTGTTTCCCATGCCAAAAACCCCCCACTAAATTGAACTGAATGTGACAAATACTCAACAAAATACTAAAGTGAACGCTAAAATTACATGACCTCAACACAAAGCTACTCATGCAGACAACATTTCTGTCTTTGTGAAATCAAAATCCCAATCATTATATTTATACTTGTTTTTTTGTTCTATAGTAACATCAGTGGATTAAACAGAATACACAAAGTTTAGTTCTCAGGCTGATATAACAGTTAAAAGAACAATCAAAAGGACTACTTCAACAGGAAAAGGGCTATCATGTTTTGGCATTAATATGCTAAACATTTATTCATAGTTAACTGTAATTATACTATATAATTACCTCAGACTTTGACAGTGATAAATAACTTGTATGTAAATAATCTGATTTGCAACTCTACTAGTTTTCTAAATATATAGGGCTCTTTCTCTTTGCTTCATAAAGCTTACTGTGTGCTTTAAGACACACTAAGGCTGTGCCCTTGTTCCCCTGTGGACTCCCTCCACAATAACAGGAGTTTGACTGCATTTACATTGTAAGAATCACTATTAGGTCCAGAAATGGATCATTGTAATACTGGTTTGAAGCTGTATATGTTCACAGGAGGGGATATTTTAGAGCATTTATCATATTAAAAAAACAAAACACACACGTCACATTAAATGTCGACTGTGTGGAGCCTACACCGCAGTGCCTGCTAAATGTAGCGATAAAAACTACATTTATAATATGCTGGATATAACTCCAACTATTGGAGTGCACTGGCAGAGAGAAGCAGTTGTACTGCTAGCTATTGTAGTACCTGCTTATCTTTATGTCTAGTAGTAAAATAAACTCCTTAGACTGCATCAGCCAAAGTTTGGTTTTAATTGGAGGTGACAGAATCCTGAGTGGTGTCCTGAGGAGGGTTTGCTGCTGGTGGGTTGCTGCTGAACATCAGCTTCCTGATGATATCTGCGTAGAATGGTCCATAGATAGTCTTGTTGTAGTTGACCAGGGAGATGAACTTTGCTCCCATCAATGCAAGTTCAGGTTTGATGGCAGTCAGGCCGGCTGGTACCTGTTCAAGTTTAGCCTGGGGTTTGGGATCACAGATGAGCGCCTGGAAGTACTGCTGCACACGATCCTCTGCACAGAAATTAAGAGAAGAAAGAGAAATAACAGGTTAGACCAAAAAAACCAAACCACACCTCTATGTTTAAAGAAAAAAAAAAAAAAAGAATTGGGGTACTCTACTCTTGGTGCTAACGATTCCCTCACACCAATGCACATTCCTCTTCCAATTAAATTATATGAACAGCAGCTTTACGGTCCAGCATAATGCTGAAATGAGCACACAGTCACTCCTGCCTATCCGTCTTACCAACAAGAGTGCGGATGGGATTGTCCTTCTGAGTGATGTTGCAGATCTGGCCTCTAAGGGTGGCCTGCAGCGCTGGGGTCAGTGCAGGATAGTTCCTCTCTGTTAAAGACTTGTTAAGCTCACAGCAGATCTGAGCACTGACACCCTCTAGTGCCTCTTCTAGGTTAAAGTGCCTACAGATAGAAGGAGGAGGAGAGTTCTGGTTTGAGCTCCTATTTCAGGCAAAGTGGTTAATAACTGACACATGCATATGTTTGAATACAGATTGTAGATTTAACATGGGTTAAAAGACAAAAATAAAAAAAGAATAGAAAAGTGAACTGACGGGCTGTGCATCCCATCCAGCAGCACACTGGTCATCCTCTTCAGACGGTCAGACAGAGAGGGCAGACCCTGGATAGGTCCTCCAAAGGTGCTGTAGACAATGAGCAGCACCTCGTTTACCGCCTGACTTTGCCGGAGCTGCCATTGAATCTCTCGTAGACGTGTCTCATCGGTCACCCAGGTCTTAAGGAGAACCAAAAGACACTTAAAAGAATAGTATGACATTTTGGGTAGGACGCTCATTTGTCTTTTTTGCTGAGAGTTAGATGAGAAGATGGATACATCTGTAATGTCTGTATGCAAGTATGGGGTTACAGCTGAGCAGTGATTAGCATTAAGACTGGAAACAAGTGGAAATAACTTAGTTCAGTAAAAAGTTGAGAAATCCACCTACCAGCACTTTTAAGGCTCACTATAATAATAATAATAATAATAATAATAATAATAATAATAATTTGTAGAGCACAAAAACAAGTTACAAAGTGCTTTAACAAGTGTAAAGAATAATACAAAAAAACAAGATAAGAGCATGAAAAATTAATATAAAATTAGTAAAATACAATAAAATAAAAGGGATAAAATAAAGTCAAATAAGATCGGGAAAGGCTCTCCTATAAAAGTATGTTTAAAGAAGGGACTTAAGAGTTCACTGACTCAGCCGACCGGATTTCCTCGGGCAGGCTGTTCCAGAGCCTCGGGGCCCTGACAGCAAACGCTCTGTCCCCTTTAGTTTTCAGTCGAGACTCTGGAACAGACAACAGACCTCTGTCCGAGGACCTCAAGGTACGTGCTGGTGCGTATGGGACTAAAAGGTCAGAAATATAACAAGGCGAGAGGCCATGAAGAGCTTTAAAAGTGATCAATAGAATTTTAAAGTCAATTCTAAAACATACTGGGAGCCAGTGTAATGAAGCTAAAATAGGAGTAATGTGGTCATATTTCTTTGTTCTGGTTAAAAGCCTGGCAGCTGAGTTCTGGTCAGTCTGGAGTTGATCAGTAGATTTTTGGGTTAAACAGGTGAAAAGACTGTTGCAATAATCCAGGCGTGATGAGATGAAGGCGTGTAAAATGGTCTCGGTGTCCTTAAAAGTTAACATAGATCGAATTTTTGCTAAATTTCTAAGTTGATAAAAACATGATTGAACAAGCTTTGTGGTGTGCTGCTCGAAATTTAAATTACTATCAAACCAAACACCAAGGTTCTTTGCCACAGGCTTAATGTGATTTACTAGGGAACCAGCAGATGGCAGTATCTGCCATCTGCTGGGACCTGATGACCAGGATTTCTGTTTTGTCTAAGTTCAGCTGGAGGAAATTATTTGACATCCATTTTTTAACTTCACAAAGGCAGTTGTTAAGTGAACTCAGCATTCCAGGGTCTGTGGATCTGACGGGCAAGTATATTTGTGTGTCATCAGCATAAATATGAAAAGAAATGCCATGTTTATGGATAATATGTCCAAGGGGAAGCAGATACAAGGAAAACAAAATGGGTCCTAAGACCGACCCCTGAGGCACACCATATTTAACTGGACAGAATGAGGAGACATAGTTGTTTACAGACACGCAAAACTTCCTATTTGACAGGTAGGATGAAAACCATTCTAGGGCAGTACCAGAGATCCCCACCCAGTGCCTCAGTCTGTCTAACATGATGTTGTGATCAATGGTGTCAAAAGCAGCGCTAAGGTCCAGGAGTACAAGGACTGAGCACAGGCCTTCATCAGCAGACATTAAAAGGTCATTGGTGACTTTAAGCAGGGCAGTCTCAGTGCTAACCCTAACCCAACAGAATCTATTACTTTCAGTAAAAATTTTGTAGGTATTACATCAAGTGGGCTGGAGGACACTCATTTGTGATACTGTTTTTAAAAGCTCAGACAAGTCGATGGGATAAAACTGGTTAAAACTCTCTTGTTGCTGGTGACGAACCTCTGAGTAAGAGGCCACGGGGGTAATAGAGGCTCTGATTGACACCACCTTATTGGTAGAATAAGATAAAAACAATTCACAGTCATCATTACTTCCAGCTGAGGCAGAAGGAGCGGTTGGGTTTACCAGCTGATCCACAGTCTTAAACAGAAACCTGGGATTGTGTTTGTGTAGTAATGAGTTCAGAAAAATAGTGTGTTCTCGCATCCTTAACCATGTTATTGTAGTTAATTAATAAATCCTTCAGACTGAGGTAATGGACTTGGAGACTGGATTTTTTCCATCTGCGCTCTGCTTTCCTGCATTCCCTTTTTAGGCAAAACTATTCAGTTGCCTCACAAACTCGTGTTAACAACAAGACTCTGGAAAATCACTGCTTCCAAAAAGAAATAGTGGCAGCACGTAACGCCTTGTAAAATCACTAACTGTAGATCATCTAATCCAGCTTTTGTCAAAAAAGCAAATGAGAAACTCAGATGAAAGAAAAAAAAATCTGATAAATTAATTCACACTCATGAAATATTAGATTATTAGGAAACATGATACTTTATACATGAAATACAAATAACTCCGGATAAACAAAAGTAATACAATGTCTCTCTCCAAGTTACGTACACAAATTCAAAACACACTCACCTCAGGCAGTGGGCTCTTATCATAGTCCCATATAAGGATGCTGAGGAAGGCAGCGTTGAGGACCTGAAAGGGGCCAGGCACCGCTCGCTGTCCTTTCCCCTGACCTTCAGTCTGTTCTGTGGGGATCGCGGCCAACAGCAGCGCCTCCAGTGCTGACTTTATCCATGAAGTGGTATGGTCCAAAGCACCTGATGAAGTTTATCACAGTTATACCGACTGAGGAGTTTGGTCTTAACATGACATTACAACATACAGAATAAAAAGCTACGGAGAAAACTGTGTTCTTATTCACTGTGTGTTTTGTCCAGGACGCTCTGAAACTTTGCCCTCTCATATTCCACACTCTGCCTCTGCAGCACAGGCCTCAGGTTATCAATGGTAAAGTTGACCATGTCTGCCTTCATCAGGTCCAGCACACGGAAGATCTCCCTGGTGTGTAAAAAAAAAAATTAAAAAGAAGAGCTTGACTTGCTTCTTATTAAATAACTAGATAAGGAAACTCACAGCTCATGTATTATCACAGAGAGACAATGCAATGTGTTTGATCTCAGCATTGATATTGTGAGATCAGATTAGATGTCTTTTTATTGATCCCCCTTAGAGGAAATTCAAATTGGCACAGCAGCACAGGGGAAAGTAAAAAAACAAAATACAACAAAAGTGGAATTAGTATGTAATATTGATACAAAATCAGTATGTAAATATACACACTCTATATACAATCAAAATAGAATCTGTCAGCAGAGACGGGAGATGTTGGGTGCTGCAGCGCTGTGCAGTCTGATGGCAGATGGCACAAATGAGCCACCTAAGCACTTTGAGGGCACCGCTGGATAAGTCTGTGGCTGAAAGTGCTCCTAAGCTGCCTCAGCTCAGCACAGAGAGGATGAGAGGGGTTGTCCATGAGGTTTCTAAATGCTTTAGGGTCCCAGGTGTGTCCTTACCTGAAGAGTGTCACCATGTTGTCTGCGCTTTCCCGGAGCTTCTTGATTTCCTCATCCCTAACTGGTGCACACATCTTGCCCATTGTGGTGATAATGTAAGAGGCAAGCCCCTGGATGTCTACAGCGTCGTTGTCAGCCTGCTGACGAATCAGGTCCATGTCCAGCACCTCCATGATCTGGGTCCTCATCCGATTGGCACCCGGATTAAGGAATGACAGTAAGATCTGTGCAAAGAGGAAAAGGATTGTAATTTTATTAAAGCATTATTTATAACGTATAATTAATCTGTGATGTTGCTTAATTTGTTAATGTCCTTCTACATATACCAGTCACGCAAGAAGATAGAAGGAGATAAAGAGAAGCAGATGCGTTACGAAAGGAATTTAAGAGGAGTCGTTAGGATAATGAAAAAAGTTCTGCAACGTGAGGAAAAATGCCAATAAAGTCATTTATACAGATCTAGTGAAGCTGTAAGTATCAGATTGTGTGTGCTGACCTCTCTGATCTCTTCCAATAATCTGATGGCATGACCATACTCAGGCGGGTCATCGTTCAGCTCAGACTCCAGGATGTCCCAGAAGGCCTTGTGGACATTATCTCTAACTACTTTCCATAAACTAAAACCAAAACAAACAAAAAAAGCAGAGGATTTAGTTTAGCTGGATATATCATATGTCAGGAAAAAATAGCCATTTATGAAAAGGGCTTTGACTTGTGGCTTTGTTCTCCAACCTCACCAAACTTGGCAGGGATGGAGCACAAAGTACAAAATAACTGAGATGCATTTTCTTAAGAATTAAAAAAAAAAAAATCAATCAAAATCAATCCTATTGTTGAGCAATCATTTTGAATTGCCGCCAGCAACACAGCAATAAATAACTAAAGTGAACTTTACTGTCCTTCTCTTTACTCTTCAACTAACTAGTTGAAGAGTAAAGAGAGTAAACTCTGGTGAACTGTTAAGTTCAGCTAGTAAACAGAGACAGACAGATAGATCTACAATAGAACAGATGAGGTATGATACGCATTAGTTCTCATCTGTCTCTTCACTGTAAAAAGCAATCCAGATCCAAAGAGAAATATTTAAACAGTTGTGCCTCTATACAATTTATAAATTACTTATCTACACACAAATTAGATATGGAGACTAAACTGTTAACATAATTTATTTTAAGGAGAAAGTAGTTTTACCTCATCTTCTTGGAAAGAACTCAACTGAACTTTACTTTGAAGTAGCTACATAACCTTTATAAAACAGGTTGCATGCAAATCATAAGTATTACTAGACAAACCCCTATAAATTATCTATGTACATCATGTCCCTGTTGGTTTATTTTTCTCCTCGTTAGTCTGTTTGTTTGGAACTGTCGTGGTTTTTGAAATGGTTCTCCTCTGCTTCTTTAATAATTCAGCAGTGTTTTTGTTTGATTAACTTGCAGTTTGGGGGCAAGTAACAGCCTATCTTTGGATTTCCGCTCTCTTTTGTTCCTTTGAAAACTCACATCCATGTCGATTTCCAGACCCCTTTTACTATTCCACAGTCAACATAGTAAGACTCACATTTGTGTTCTTTTCCATGGAGGTGTACACATACTTTTGTAAAATATTGTGAAAATATATATTATACAAAGCATAGATACAATAAGCAGCGGTTTGATCACTAACGTACTTCACGTTTCAGGAAAAAATCTCTGAACAGAGACACCGAGAACTTTTTCATGGTATACCTGTCCTGAGGTAGGCTGTCAGTCTCAAGATGGAAGTTGCGGTTCACAATGATTTCATGGGCAAAGCTGAGATTGGACAGGTCTCTGGCAGACTCCATGACTTCATCCAGGGTTAAGGTTTTTGGTGGGCTTGCTGTGGGAAACATACATTGAATAAGCTTTGTAATTTAAAAAGTGAGCATAAAATCCACTGTTAAAGTTGTGCAATACCAGTAGTCAGGGCAGTTAGTCTTGGAATGTGATTACAGATAAAACTACAGTCTCTGATACCTAACTAAAAGTACAAACAAAATAGCATTATAAATATAAATGTTCACATCTGAGACAGCGCACAAGCCAAGCCAAACCAACTAGTAGGCCTATCTCAACAAAGGAAAACAATCATGGAAATGTAAGAGATTGTCCGCTGAGCAAACTCACAGGAGGGCGTGCAATGTTTGCTAGAGCAGTCACTCGTGAAGCTTTCACGGGAATACTCCAGGTCGCTGCTGTCACAGCGCTCCGACGACGACTCCACGTCACTGCCTTGGTCCTCGCCGCTGGACATGGAGGCCGGTCGCTCATCATTAAAAGGCATCTTGGGTTACAGCTGCACAAGAGAATTTGGTTACTTTAGCAGAAAGCCACTGGATTTCTAAATTCTTTGTTTAACTCAACCTGTTCAGCAAGTCACAAGTGAATGGGTTTGTTACTACTTTCACAGAAATTTGGATGGAGGAGGTTTGCAATTTAACTGGAAAGACTTTCATTCCGCCTTTGTTTGGAAGCCATTGTCGAGAAAGTTCTAGTTCTTAATTCCTAACACGGACTGGAAGCAACAAAAGATCTGACATCTAGTGATATACTATATTTTAGCCTGATATCACTTTTCAGTGCCATAGACCCACATTATTGTGCAAAAACTATTAAAAACAAATTGATGTGCCACACAGTTGCACTGTATGACAATTTATAACCACAGACACATGCATTTCATTTCAAGTCGATCACACATAAACCATCCCAGTGCTGAAATGAATGTGTATCATTCTCGGATTAAGATTTTTTAAGAAAAATTTGCAATTTACTCCTGATGGAGTAACATCTGCTATAACTACATTCCTCAGCTTTTTTAAAAACTTCAGTAGGGAAAAATGAGTTTGGGGCTAAGAGCAACAAAAAGTTAAAGGCTAACGCATTGTTGGTTTTTGGTCTTTTCATGGAATTTGCTGACAACAAATCTATCAGCTTGTATAAAAAAATAAATAAAAAACTTGGTGAGGAGAAAACTAAGTAAGCTTTACCTTAGTTTGACCTAGCTTGTATTAGAGGGAGAAGGAGTGTTTGACTGTCAGCAAGCATTCATTTTTCACTTTAGCAATAGCTGCTGTTGCCAAGGCGAGCTAACAAAGTAACAAAAACACCGGCCGCACTAAACAGTTGGCGAGCCTGTCTCCAAGGAAACAGACAGTTGCCTTGTTGAAAAGTATTGAGTATTACCATCAAATACAAACTATACTAGTTTTTATTTTTTTACACTCAATTCTAATGAGTGCATGAAGTTATTCACTGGGAAAATACTTTCAGTGTTATTCACTGCCACACGGTTTGACAATGCTATCCAAAAGTCAGGACACAATGAGAACCCATTTCCACAACGAGGTTTAAACAAAAGCTTGTATTCCTTGAGGATTAAGAAGGGGGTACTGTGTCCAGGTCTGTCTGAGATCCACTGTGTCTCCAGGGCAACATGGGACAACAAAGCAGCTTCTTAACTGTCAACAATCCTGTTAGACCTGATCCCCCGGTTGTCCTTCCTCCACACAAATAAAAATACATGGCATAAGAAAGAAAGGTACCATTAGCAAGATAAGAAAAATATGAGCTAAAGCCAAACTGAGTGAATTCAGAAATTCAAAATCAAATCTTATTTACTGGGCAAAGACACCATGAAACATGGTCCCAATATACTTTCCAAAAAATACACCAGGATCAAATGCAAAAGACTACAAATGTGAAGACAAGATAAAACCGCAAGAATAAATGAATAATGAAGATATAAAACAGCTACATTTAAAAACTTCAGATAAAGAGGATATTAAAAGGTGCTCCACCAGGGTGCAAAATTGACTTTGTCCGCCAGCCAATGGCTAGTGAATGCTTAAAGTATGCAAGCCACTTACTATGGATTATTTTTGGCTGGTGATGTGAATCTACTAGCCAATTGCATATTTTGTTTTATTGGTGGCTGGTGCTAATTTTGGACCCTGTGCTCGACCCAACATGAACTCTATTCAGAAATTCGGACTCAGTACCATGGATGTTTTGTTCATGTTCTAATTACAACGCATCACCAAAACCACCACTTTGCTAAATAATTAAGTAATTAGTTAGTTACTTTAACTCCTCTTAAGTAGGCCTCTGCCTTTCTAATATTATCTAAAAACATCAACGCTGGCAGGGTGACCCTTGAGTGTTCCTGTTCTCAGTTATCTGCTGCCAAAAGTGAACGCACACTCCCTCGCTGCTCTTTTGGTTTTAAAGATAGCTCAAGGGAAGAGGATGGGTGTGGGGCGCGTGCAACTTCCATGTACCCCGTCTGTGTCTGCAGCTCATTCACTGCATCATCTGCTAGACTTGACAGCTAGGTCACTGCAACGCAGCAGGCCAATTTTCAGAGATTATCTTGAGTGATGGGAGCAGTGCAATCCAGAAAACTGATTACGGATTAGGTCTACTCTGTCATCTGCTGCTTCACTGGGAGAGAAATCCTCTTTAAGTAGTATGAATGTTTGATAAAATAAAATGTTGACAGACTTTTACTGCCAAAAGCAAAAGATCCCCAAGCATTTGAAGCATGTATGGACATGTTCAGAGTGAGGTTTAAAAAAAAAAACAAAAACCCACACACATTATGAATGGTATTGATGGATATGAAATATACTGTTACTGTAGACTGTAAGATAGGGCATTGAGTGCAATGTGCTGGTAACAATATATCTGCATTAATATTATAACTTATCGAATGCAGAAAAATAGGCAATGCAGTTTCCATATGTACAGGTGTTCTGACTACATATTGTTACAGTAACTCCTGCAGAAACAAAGACAGCCTTCAGGGGTTTCTAGATTTGACTGCAGTGTAATGTAAACAAAACATTAGATCAGGAAGGCTGGGCCAACCACACGGGGACTCTTCTTATTGGCTGCAGCTCACTGTCTCTCACCAATACATGGAAAATGTTTGGTTACAGAGCTTTGCACATGGGAGAAAAAAAAAAAAATTCCACACGCAGAAGAAATGGGTACACGTGATGTGAACAGCAGACCAAAACAAGAACTCCGTGCACATTTAAAACAGTACATTTCAAGTCTGTCCACAGTAAGACTAATGTATTAAGCTCTCTGCTAAAGACGTTTGTTGTACATAGCTGTCAAACTCGTCACTGTTGTTTACATCATGACAGCGTTTACACAACAGTCTTTGTTAGTTGAACAAACGCTCTGGCAATAACAGCTGGGTATAGATCGGTTAAATCTTCATGGCTGCTAGCTATATTTCGACATCCGCATCGACATGCTAGTTCGACGACTGTGCCCAAGTTTCCGCTTCACAACAATGCCAGACTCAAATAAACGTAAAAGTTGCCAACAGAACCAGCCGTGTGATTCACAATTTCAAATACAGTAAAGTGTGCTCAACAAAAGCGACTCTTACCCGGTACAAGTCTCCGTAAAGGGAGACCGACACCAAATATAGCTCAGCTCTGAAATAAAAGATTCGTCGTCGACCTGTGCAGTTCGTCTCTCTGTTTAAAGGTCCTTCGTTGCCCCAGCTGGCTCTGAAGGCAAACAGGCGAAACCATTTTGTACATAGGGGTGTTCAACGGCTAAGCAAGGACGAACACAAGGTTTATGATTAAAGATTTAAATGTTTCGATAACAACAGAATTGTAAGCACATACACATATAAAAAACTAAATGCACACAATTTAGTTAAGGAAAAAATAATGTACACGTAATGCAATATTCTACACTATTTCACCCTCAGTTAAATGGTACGCTCAGCATTGCTTCACGTGGGACGTATTTGTTTACGGATGTGACCTCAGTGTGTTCACAGAAGTGTATTATGTGTGTATTACTGCCTAACCCAGATATTAAAGGGCATTATGAGGACAAAAACTTAGTTCACTCTCTAAAATGGCACCTCAGAAGGTAAACCATAACCTTTTAGCATTAAGACTTAACAAAAATAATAGGTAGGCTTATTGACACAATACAACAAGTTACAGAGTGAAATTGAGTTTTGTAACTCCCTTCTACATAGACAATATCCATTAATACAGTCAATTATAAAAAAAAATGGTAAACAAACTATCACTGAAGCAGTGCTGAGGATGAAATTGTGTTTATCCTTTGGGCTCTGCGCAGGCACCTCACAGAGATCACTCATGCTCAGGAGATGGATACCAATGATCTTCTGAGCAGTTTAACCACCCGCTGCAGAGCCCTCCGGTCCTGGGCCGTGCACATCCCATGCCAGTTTGTGACGATAACGCTTTAAGAAAAAGCTAAAATATAAATACATCACACATACACATCAGAATCAGTTTTATTGCCAGGTATGTGTACACATAGGAATTTGACACACACGTTGTTTTTTTTAAAGGCCCTTACAAGTAAACTATAAGTGGTTAAAGGTTAGGCCAAAAATATCATTTTGACACCAGACATGACATGACTTACTTTAGTAGGAAAAGAAAAAGGTGTTAAACATTAAGGATGGGTTTGTGTCCAAGTAAGCCATGACAGCGTATGCACAATACCAGATCCCTGAAACTGATGCAGCTAAATGGAATTCAGCCATCATTATTTACACAAACACAGAAAAGTTATAACCTCCAAAGAAAGCCAAATGTTTGTATTTGCAAAGTAATTATACTAATGTAACCAGGTTTAAAAATGACCCGCCTATTTTGGGCAACAGAATAATGATCTGTATTTTTTCTATTGAGCCTATAAAAGAAGAGAAAAATCCATCCATCCATCATCAACCGCGTATCCAACGTACAGGGGGGGGGGACTGGAGCCAATCCCAGCTGACATCGGGAGAAAAGGGAGGATACACCCTGGACAGTTCGCCAGTCCATTGCAGGGTGAAAAGAAAAATCTTAGTGGCAATTATTTGAGAGATTAAATTCTAGAAATTTAATTTTAACTTGCAAGAATACTTAATATAAACACTTCCTGATAATATGGTCCATTTCATTTTATAGTAATTACCAAATACTGTATATTATCTCTTAACTCTACACTGTAAACTCAAATAAGTTCAGAATGCTCAAAATGTATGGAAACCGATTACCTCAAACTTTTATAGTAGTGGTAATATTTGAGTAAACCTCAACTTAAATATAATAGATTTTAAAAAACATTTAATTTCTGTATACTAAATTACATTGATTCACTGGTGCTTATTAAAATTAAATTCTACTAATTCTTTACTCAATAAATGTAATTGTGCTAGACTCAAATACTAATACTAACAAGATTACTACTAGTCAACTTGAAATTTACAAAATGCCCATTTTCAGACAGTAGTCCTCAAATTATTACAATTCGAGTTCCCTTTATTAGTATCAAAACCTTAAACATCTGTCATTTCTACATTTAACAGGCACAAAATAAGGCACATCTTGCATAAAGCTGAATAAACAAAGTAATTGACTGCTTGATCAGATAATTAACCAGCAACAATTGATCATTTTTGCAATAATGTTGAACATTCTCCATTTCCAGATTCTTAATGACATTTTCTGGTGTTAAGTGATAACTTGAATCTTGAGCTAAATAAAATTTCCTTTTACTACTTTGCTGTGTTTTGTGGAAAAGCGACTATGCATAATTTTATTCCATCAGCAACATTTTACTTAAATAATATCAAAAGGGAGCTTTATGGAATCCTAAGAAAATAAAGAGTTTAAAATAAGAAGTTCCACACTATGCAAACTGTTAAGTCAGGTAGACGAGATAATGGAACAATTTCAAGGTTTCTGCAGGTTACATTTAAAGACCTTTTTAAGACCATTATGGATGAAATTTAATTAAAACCTATATCACGACTTAAAAAAAAGAAGTTACTTACAAAGTCAATCAATGCATTCATATTAGGGTAGAGTGATGTCTACAAAATTGCCTTTGGATGTCAATGAAATACCGGGATGGACAATGATGATGATGCTGATGGATAAACTCAGGGGGGCAGACAGGGAGACAATAGTAAGCTACACCCAAAAGCTAAACTTGCTAAATAAGTCCACTGGGGTTGAATTCTAAGCCATTAGATCTGGGAAAATTAATTTGGTTAGTTTTGATGCTCTCCATAATGATTTTACATTCATTGTGCAGCACCAAGCCGTTTTGAACCTCACCACCTAAGAATGGCAGGAAAACACATGACCTCAGAATCATTACACAGATAGATTCATGTTTGCCTTTTGTGTCTTAATTTACTGCTTTATTTGTAGAAATAAACAAATAAGCATTTCATTTGTACATCGAAATCCAAAAGAATAATCTCATTAGCTTAAGAGGACTAACGTTAGTTTGCATCCTTAATTTGCTTTAATGTTTCTAAGCACAGCTTCTGTGGTCAACAGCGTCCTCTTTAATTTAACTATCGAGATGTACAGTACAGAGCTGACAACTTAATACTGATCTTATCCTCTGCTAACTTTCACCGTTACTTTCTGCTGCTCACATTCGCTTGTCCTTTGAAGAACGAGGAAAGGGAGAAAGCCATGCGTTGAGTGTTACTGTAGTTTACTGAAAATCATTAATGATCGTGTGAAATATTAATAGCGGCGCTTATTCATTAAGCAGCGACAGTAGGCTTCAAATATGTTTCCATCCAAGAACCGATAAGGTTGCACTTCCCCATAGCTAAAGAATAAATCAGTTATCTCTGTGGTACAATCCGAAAGAAACTTGCAGCAATTACACCAAAGCTGCCCTTTTGTCTTTGTAGTCGTAATACAGCAAATTATATTTGGACTAGAGACAGAAAGAACGACACCACCACGGGAGGGGGAAAAAAACAAAAACAAGACATTCTTTAGCGCTGCAGGGCTATTTCAATGAGCATTAGAGGTAGCGTTAAATGGATGTTAGAAGATACCTTTTTAAAAATTTTTAAGATCTAGAACAAAATCTTAAGAGAATTTCAGACTTTAAGACCCCGTGGAAACCCTGCAGGACATCTACCCGACCGGTGTTATCAGAGCAGCTTCTTTAATCTGGAGGTTTCAGTGTGTTTGATTGTTCGAGTAAAGTGATAGTGAATCTCAGGAGGAAAATATTCTGGCAGTAAAAGTACGGTGTCAGTATGTCAGGTAATAAATGCTTCAGCTTCTCCAAAACAACAAGAGTCTGATCCCAACGGCTGGAGAAGTGAAGCAGGTTAACAAACATCTCCCCTTCAGACTGTAAGCTAACAGAACGTCTTTTAGTTCAATTTATAGAAAGTAACGAGCAGCTGTATTTTATTCCAGCCTACCTGTCCAGCTGAGAGAAAAAAGGTGACCTGGCCACAGACTGAACATCCATGGGGTACCATATTTGGGTCACAGGCTTCACTTTTCAAACCTGGAGGTTCCTGCTTGGTGAAAACACAAAGCTGCTCCCTGGTTTCACAAAGCAGACATTAAATATCAAATTTCCATTGTGGTTTTGAAACAGACCAATCAAAGAACAAGACGCAGATTCAGGTTGTCCTCACACAGGAGCAGGAGGGGCTACGAACTGACGCACTGCTGGAGGCGCTCTCCTCCTCGTTGTTGGGCGAAAGCGAGGCGAGGAGGCCGGAGCCTTACGGCGACGCTGAAAGTTGTGTATTCTGCACAAAGCATCATGTTCAGCTTCAGGTCGTCCATGAGCTCCAGGATCTGTTCTAAGGTGAGCTGAGCCAGTTACTGACGGAACTGTGAAGACTGAGGACATTGACACAACCGCTGTTCAACAGGTACCTAGAGACCGTCCTCACCTCTGTCCTATCCAAAGACGACAGCCGCGAGGACAGGTGTCCTCTCGGAGTGTCTCACTGAGGATGCTGAGCACAGAGTCCGTCCTGAACATCACCAGGCTCCCCATCATCATGTGACACATCCGCTCCTGCAACACAGAGAGACCCGCTTACTGAACACAACCCAGATCAGAACCAGCAGAAACAGACTCAAGGTTCTGCAGAGGTGAGTCCTGATCAGCTGTTACCTGTGAGGAATCGATGACAGCTACAATCATGTTGAGCAGTTAAATGCTCCGCAGCGTCTCATCTGGGAACTGAACCGAGATAGAAACATTCTGATCTGGATCTGTGTGTCAGTGTAGATAGAGGGGGTGAGGTAGCTAGAACAGCCAGACGCTGTCCTCCTGTCACACCTTCATGCTTGGTAAGAGCAGACCCAACGGGCATGAGGTAGGCCTGCACGGTAAAAAGAAAATGCGATAACATTGTTATATTGAGAGGACATGACTTGCAATAAATAAACATATTGTGCATATTAACTGCCTGGTTGTGCAAGTTATTTTAGGATTAGAAATTAATATTTTAAATACAGCTAAATGTTTCTAGAGCCGCAACACTGATGCTTACAACACTGAGGGATGTATAGAAAGAACAAAAACTCTGTAAAAGTCTGTATCATTCCTCATCTTCCTCCTCCCCTCTGCTGTTATTCACTACCTGCAGGTAACATTACCTGGTAGAAGGAGAAGCGGCTGGTTTGTCTCAGCCAGTCCACAACAATGTGCCAAATTTTAAGGCTGCAGACAGACAGCTTTCTATTTAGCTTGTTTATTAGATTAGACGCTTGAGACAGAACGTTACATTATAGAATCCACTAGTCTCGATAGCACCATTGATAAGCTCGGACCTTGTTGATTTTCAGGTTTTGAGAAATTTAAACTAATGCAGTTACTCTCAGTCACTTTGGATAAAAGCACGAGTTAAATGTCTAAATGTATTTATTATTTATTACATAGGTGAAATACACTCCACCTGGTTAACTTTACTGGCCCCACCGCCCTTTCAGTGCCAAGGTCTGACTTTGCTTGGTGTGCTTACATTACATTCATTTAGCTGACGCTTTTATCCAAAGCGACTTAAAAATTGCTATATATGTCTGAGGTCACACACCTCTGGAGCATCTTGCTCAGGGACAAATTGGTGTTAAAGTGGACTTGAACCCAGGTCTCACATCAAAGGTAGGCATCTTATCCACTGTTCCATCACCACCTTCATCAATACCAACATCACAGTCTTCAATTTAGCCCTGGGGCTTATTTCATACCAATCTCTAAAAGAAACACAACAGTTTGTCAAGTCCACCACCTGTTTCTTTAACTTAACATTACTGAGACAAGACTGTCAATTTTACATTTACTCATTTGGTAGACGCTTTTATTCAAAACAACTTACATTTCAGGAACATACAAGCATTAACAAAGCAAGATTAATTTAACTTAGCTAACATGACTGCCAAACACTTTTGAAAGGGCTGTGAAAGTAAATCTACATTAATTTGCTACGTTCTTGTAGGAATGCCCGCGAATTGTTCGGCAGGAACATCTAACTTACAGTACATCAAGCTAAAGTTAGCTTGTTTACCATTAGCCAACTCCTCACATTTGGACTGGATTTTAACTGATATATAGAAGACTCCAAATATTACAACTAAATTACTCTTCCACGATGACAATGTTAACGTTACCACTTGCCAACACGTTCTAGTTTGACATACAGTCAATGACATTAACCAGTAACGTTAAGTTACTTAGCTTCCCAATTTAATGGCACATTTAAGCTAGCCATCAACTCGGTCACGTTAGCCCTTCGGAATTCTGTTTAAAGATAAACCAACCAGCTGGAATTTATGGTAGACATCAATATCAAGTTATTCTACAACAATGCTTCTATTAAAATACAAAACAATAATTTAATGAGTAGGAGAGACTTACCACAGTCCAACATTTGCTATGCGACGTCAACGCTCATTTTCCTTTCACACAGCGTGTTGCGCTTATATGACATGCCACGTGACCATTGACGTCAGAACTTTGTACGTCACGAAGCGCACTGATTTTTACTGCATTTATAACCACTGCGCTATTTCTCAATATGTCTATATTGTTTTATTCATAGTGTGTATATTAGTGTTGTCTATTCTGTAGTTTGTTTCTGATTTTATTTTATTATTGTGTTATGGTATTATTGTGTAAGCACATCGTGAGCAATGTACAAACCTGAGTCAAATTCCTCGTATACACATATCTGGCAATAAAACTGATTCTGATTCTGAAATGGGATGCAGCTGATTGGGTAACACCTCTGGTTGGGGGAAGCCCGTTGCCCAACCATAGACTGTACATTGTGCCCAACTTGCACAATGTTGATTGAAAATCTGTAACTAACTAACGTTAATTGACAAAGTTTGAGAGAACCCAGCTTTCTTTGCGGCGCTGTGAAAGTGTTTATTTCTGTTCTGTGACTTTAATTTATAACCGTACACTGGGATGACCGGTGTGCTGACGATCTATGTAGCCTTGTCGAAAAATGCTACCGTAGCGCAAATCGACAGCAGAGTCTATCGAGTCGCTCTGCCCTATCGAAAAATGCTACCTTATGTGTTTCCTTTCCCAATCCCATAAAGTTATAACTCTCACAGTGTTATGACATCTTCTGTTTTTTGATTATATTACAACATCATTTCAGGGGTAGCTATTCTGATACTAATATCCCCTATCAAATAATGCTCCTATTACAGAATCATTTTATATTGCACCACTACTCACTTCATGTGTACTGTAAGGAGATGGGGAGCATGTTGAAATGCTATATTATGCCATCTTTATTTAAGATATCAGGGGTAGCGTATTCTAATATTGATTTTTTTTTTATTTGATGTTACTGACGATCAGCCAGCCGCGTTCCTGTTATGCTAATTCTGGCTAACGTAACGTATCACCAGTGGCTGAAACCTTTCCAGACAGTCGTCAACACTTATGATTTTTCATCTGAGGCTGCTCCTTGTTACATGCGCTTTGGTCTGGTAAGTGAAAAAGTTCTGTTTTCAGGCGAAGTAATGTTAACAGAAAAGTTAACGTTACTTGAAGTTAGCTGGCTAACACAATGAGGAAACGTTCAAGTTCACTTTGCACTGAACTGCTGTAACCTAGTTAACGTTACTTTAGTCCTATAACATTACTGTGGAGACAGTCAAGCTCTGCCTTCATATAAGTTAACAAGCGGTTTCTGAACGCAGTGTTTTGTAGTAAGATGTATGGTTCCTCAAAAACTAAAAACATAATGTGTGGAACAAATATAGAGAGCCTAGTTTCACTGATATAGGTTAAATATGAAATGAAAACCCCTCCAGTTGGGAGACTTTCAAGTCAGATCAGTTGGAACTGTGTAATTATTATGATAAGTATTTAATATGTCTATATTTAACTTTATATCTGTTATCTGTTTTAATAGGTCTGTCCTCTCAAGTGTACCTGAGCGCTGAGTTTCCTCAAGCTTCAAAGACATTTCGGTAAGATGTATCCTGAAATAGTGTTGATGCATGGCTGAATGTTTCATTTTATCAGCGGTGAACCTAATAAACCCCTCAGCCCTTCAATTGGAGAAACAAGTTGCCTCATCTGAAGTGGCTGTAATATGTATTTGTAAAGGAATATTTTTCCACTGTGGTAATGAAAGTTGGTGAGGAATGTTCAGTTTTTATTTAAATTTAATATTATTATTTGTTAATTTTGGCAGATGTAGTTTGTGGTCTGGTGAACTGTATTACGTTATAAACAGCTGACTCTCTATTATTTAGCATGGCCTCACTGATATAAATGGGATAGACAAAATATCAGAAACACTAGTCCATGTGATCCAAAACAATCATACAGCTGCAACAAAAACTGAACAGTAACATTTTTATGAAGGGAGGATTTATTGCAGAAATGTTGGATTAGACTGCACTAAATTTAGCTGGATGTACCAAATAAACTGGTAGCTAAGATTTGTGCTGCTGAAGGAATTTCATCTTGCCCATAATCACCAAAAGCAGCTCTAACATTGGTGAGTCATAAATTATAAAATATTGTATTATTTAAGAAAATCGGCATTTGACGATGCTCTTGTTGACTGGGCTAATGGGAAATCTTTATATTGTTTGTTATATTTGCTCTCGTAGGATCAAACCGAGTACTGAGTGGCACTACAGCTATCCAAGGCACGTTATCAATTTGCATATTTTTCCATCCCTTGCTGGCTTGCTATTCAGACATACTGAGGATATAAAAAATACTACATTGCTAGAACTGGAGTCATCAACATTTCACAGTGGATGACATTTTAACATGAAAGATGATATTTTAGCCCTGACTTGAGATGTAGGGGGGATTTTGTACTGTTTTAGAAAAGTGCATAATATAATATATTTATAATGAATATGTATATTTAGCAATTTAAAATTCTCATAGATTTCTTTCAGAAATGATTGGCAGTGGTCAAAAGCCGAGAAAACTGTAGATCTAGCATTAAGTGTAAACAGTTTTCACTATAGGCTCTGTTAAAGGCTGTTATAAACTTATGATGAGATGGTTGAATGACTCCTTTATGGTTCTTAAACTATTTAGTACCTGACTGAAATTCTGTCTCAACCCTGTTCAGACCAAAAATGGCACTGTTGAGGAAAAACAAAAGGATCTGTGTTGGTGTGGGAATGTTGCTTCAGATAGAAGCTAACTGATGAAATATTATACAATTAGTCTAGTTTAAAATATATTTGATTGGCTAACTCAATTCTTAGCCACTTAATCTTTCATTTTGATGCAGCAAAACCTAAGCTAGGTTAAAGAAATTTGCAGTGGTCCATGTCCATTTCTCAGGTAAAAACTATATTCTTTTTGCTCAGCCAGCCATCTTGCTTAAAACAAGTAATTGATGCATTATGTTTTTCTATCAAGTCCTAAATTGGAAGCCATTAATCTGCAAACTTTTATGTGTTTGCAGGTGTTTGCTGAGTTCATCGCTTTATAAATGTTGAACCTATGCAATCAATTCTACTGCGAGCTTGAGAGAAACACACCACAACTGATTGCCCTGTACAGGCAGAAGGCTAAGAGAGCAGAGGCCCTGCAGAGATCCTCAGGATTTATGACCTTCAGGTGAGTTTAAGATTACCTTTACCGTAGCAATAATGTTGATCACATAATGGTCAGTCAATACAGATTGGGACTTCTGTACTACAATAGTGAAATTTGATTATTATATTTCAATTGTCATTTCTCATTAGCATTTATTTTTGTAAGTTTTCCAGTACATGATCACTTTAAAAGCCATTTACAAGCTTATTTTTAAATTCTTGGGCTGCCCTGAACACATAACCCAAGACAGAAAATCCTCAATTTTGCTCAAATTTTCTGTGCTGAGCATGACTTTATTTTTCTATCCGTCCAACAGACCAACTCCATCCATGATCGGTACTGACAGTTGCAAAGTGATGTACTATAGGCCTTCTCCACAATCAGCTCACCTGCGGTTCTTACCACAGAATGGTGGGAGAAAAAGTTCAAAACGCGAGCTGTGTTTTTTGGGCAGTAAAACATGCAGGGTGATGCAAGCTGGTGTGTGTGCAGCGTTGCGCGGGACAGAACTGTAAGTGCTTGTACGAATCTCCACATCCCAAAATTTAAAACTGAATACCAACCCAATGAAGGAATAGTCGAATATTTGGGTCCAGCCTTACCGCACTGGCTTCCAAATCTCTTCTATTGTCCTGTTTAAGGTTATAGTTGGCTTCTATTTCTCACCCATTGTTTAATTCACTGTGTTTTTTTTTAATTTGACTTCTCTCTTAGTAGTTGCAGCTGGATGGATTTGTTGTTATTGCTGTCAATATTATTATTTTAGAATTACATTGTTAGAATTGTTACACTTTATGGCTTGATGTGCTATAAAATATTTGTATAATAATAATTTTGATTGTCAATCTAGGAACAACACGAGGTACACCATCCGACCCTCCGAGGCCTCCCAGTGAACCTGCTAGTGGATGACTGACGTCTTCAAAACCTGCAATGTAAGTACTCAGTGTACTCACAGAAATGTCAGTATCAACGACAAGTAATAGTAACCAACTCGAATACCTCTTCCAGCAACTGACAGTTTTAAAGAAATGAAAGGATAGGTTTGTGTTTTTTTTTGTTTGTTTTTTTTAATTCTATCATAAAACAATGCTAAAATATGATGTGTACAGTGAAAAGCATGTGCCCACTAATGAGGACAATAGGTCTAATTTGAGCAGAATGAAGTCTATGGTGCTTGAATCTCAAAACCTAAATTCCCCATATGTGGACAAAGGATATTTGGAGGCTAAGTTTAGTTGAAGATAAATGGCTAGCTAAAGGCTTAAGCAGTCTAGTTAAAAAATTAAATGAATATTGTTAGGTCATTGTGTAGGTTTACTGTTGGAAGGAAGTATCCCACTGCTGCACCTCAGCAAGTAAACACCAACCAGACATTGCTGACACTCCTCACTGTGGTCACTGACACTGACGCTCCTGGTGCTGTCCGCTTCAGCCAAAGTAAAAGGTGGCTGTGGATAGATTTGTCTGTTTCTCTGGGGGTGGTGATGGGACAGTGGATAAGACACATGACTTTGGTGTGAGAGACCTCCAGATTATAGGAGCTACTCTGATAACAGCACCTGTCAGGTAGACGTCCTGCAGGGTTTCCGCGGGATCTAAAAAAGTCAAATTTCAAAATTTAAGGCCTTTTAAAAGTCTTAAATTTGCTGAAGTTTGTGTTCTAGGTCTTAAATAATAATATTAAATGGGTATTTATTTTCCAATGCTCATTGAAATGCCCCCGCAGCGCTCAAGAATGTTTTCTCCACCCACGGTGGATCTTTCTGTTGCTAGTCCGAATCGGTCCAAATGTAATTCGCTTACGACTACAAAGATAAAAGGGCAGCTTTGGTGTTATTGCCGCAAGTCTCTTTTGGATTGTACCACAGACATAAAACGGATTTATTCTTCAGCTATGGAGAAGTGCAACCTTATCTTGGTTGGAAAAACAGATCTTAGGTGCTCTAGCAATGTATTTGAAGCCTACTATCGCTGCTTAATGAATAAGCGCCGCTATTAATATTTCCCACGATCATTAATGATTTTCAGTAAACTACAGTAACACTCAACGCATGGCTTTCTCTCTTTCCTCGTTCTTCAAAGGACAAGCGAATGTGAGAGAGCAGTAGAAAGTGTTGGTGAAAGTGACAGCAGAGGATAACATCAGCATTATGTTGTCAGGTTACAGCTCTGTCCTGTACATCTCGATAGTTAAATTAAAAAGAAAGGACGGTGTTGACCACAGAGGAGCTGAGGTTAGAAATGTTAAAGCAAATTAGGGATGCAAACTAACTGTAGTCCTTTTAAGCTAATGAGGAGATTATTCTTTTGGATTTTGATGTACAAATGAAATGCTTGTAATAATACAGAAGGGAGGTGGTTCTCATGTTGCCTATTATTTATGTTAATTTCTACAAATGTATAACGCAGTAAATTAAGACACAAAAGGCAAACATGAATAATCCTTTCTGTATGTATGATTCTGAGGTCATGAGTTTTCCTGCCATTATAAGTTGGTGAGGTTCAAAACAGCTTGGTGTTGCACAATGAATGTAAAATCATCCCAGATCTAATGGCTTAGAATTCAACGCCAGTAGACTTATTTAGCAAGTTTAGCTTTTGGAGTATAGTTAATTCCAAATCTGCTCTAGATTTTCCTTCTTATTCACAGATGTGGTAATAACAATGTTCCAAAATTATGTGGAATCCACAATTTTTTATTGTTGAATGTGTGTTGAATATAAACTCCTCTTAGGAATTTCACCATTCAATGTGAATTTATCTGAGAATATTCTTAAATAAGGAAATCTCTTCAGTGATTGGTCCTTGGCTACATTGTCATCCAAAATCCTGTGTGGCACAGCGAAGTGTCGTAAATCAGCACTAAGACTGACACTTAAGATTTAGTCCTACACTTCACTCAAATTAGGATTATGATGCTTGATAACTAACCTTTAAGTGCAGCTTTGAGCCAAGAATTTTTTTACTCTTAAGTCAGTTCGTAGCAGTGTTTTTATGAGTAATTCTGAGAAGCTTAATAAATACAGGCCCAGATCTCCTCGGTTGAGTTTCATTAAACAATCCTGTGGAAGTCATTATGAGTCTCAGAGAACTCCTTCAGCACACACCTGACTCATGCTACTTCTCATAACAATGACACCTCAGATAACCTAGTGACAGATCACAGTGGCCACTTTTCTTTTACTGTGCCCCTTACAAAATACAAACTTGTAATTGTGCTTGTACCTTTTACCTTGTACCTATAATAACTAACAAAAGTTATAATCTACAATAAATCAACAATAAACCGTTGAAATATGAAATTATTGCTGACATGTAAAACTACACAAACAACCACAGAATCCAAGCTTACTACCACTGCAGACTTTCTTAGAAATATCACAATTGACTGCAGTATGACGCCTTAAGCAAACAAACTAAACCCACAGTATGTAGATTTTTAATGAAAGTGAACATCTTTCAAATTATGGCATACAATTTTGTTTGTAGAATAATTAGACAATTCAGTTGAAGTTGCTGAAGTCTATGTGGTGCCTTGAGACTAGTTTTGTTAGTGTCCCAGACTGAAACATAATTTGGCAATTTCTCTTTTTGTTAGAGTACTGTTTGTTGCACAATTTGTTAAGAACATGAAAAGCTTGGTACCCTCTGTGGTTTTATAAGTTACAAGTTTTGTAACCTGCAAACCACAACACTTTTTATGTGTGTGTGTGTATGTATGTATATATATATATAATATAAAACTAACTATATATAAAACTTGTAACTTAAATGTATGTATGTATGTGTATATATATATATATATATATATATAATATGGAGATTGTTAGTTACACAAAATTTTACAACTGGGTCAACAGGGCTTAATGAAAGTCATGAGCAAACATCCAGATGGTTTATGTGTGGCAGATGGAGTCAATGCAGCATAATATTTTTATATACAGTCTATGAGCATAACGTCCTGCAGGACAGACAGAAAATATATGTAATATCGTTCTTTGTTGTGTACTTTTTACATTTTATGCATGTTTTTATTTAAAAACTATAAACAATATGTCGAAAAATCTATTTATAGCACATTAGAAACCGCTGGCAGCGCGCGTTTTTGCCTGTAGAGGGCAGCAGCGCGCTGTGTATCGGTTACATTTTGAAGAAGAAGATGTTGACGTCACAGTGAGAGCTCATGATGGCGGTTGATTTGACTCCTCGGTTCAGAAGGTTGAACAGCCAAACGAGAAGTTTTCGTGAAAATATACAACATGGTAAGATCTGAATGTCAACGCTAAATAAGTTTCAAGTTAACGTTAGCTAATCTCCCCTTTATATAAATACAGATAAAGCAAATTGTGTAAATAAAGGCTAAGCCACTGGAGGCGAGCATAGCAATCGTATTGTGAGCTGTTGATTAACGTTAACTTCTAACGTAACGTTAACATTATTTTGGTTAAAATGTTTTATAGACCAGTTTGAGGGACATTGACATCCAATTTGCGCCCCTAACCTTACTTATGGTTTACAGAATTGGTGGAGGATGTATTCAGAATCTTGACTTAAAGAAAAGTAGCGATACCACACTGTAAAAACTAACGTTAAAAGTCCTGCATTGAAAACGTTTAAACAGATGCGCAACCTTAGGAATATAATAATGAGATTGTTGCATCGATGTGCAAACAGCATTTTACTTTTTGTAGTTGGTCGTTGTTGACGTAATTAGAACTACATTACGTATATAGCTGTTGTAGTTTAATCAGTAACAACGCATCAGTATTATAGACTCATGGTTTGGAGGTGAACTCATAATTTGTAAATTAACTATGAACTGTTGCTGTCAGATAAATGTTGATTAGAAGTAGGGCTGGGCAATAAAACAATGATAATTATCGCAATATAATATTCCTTATTAACAATATAACAAATGTTCAAAATATCTTCAAATATTTGAATTCATTTGAATCACAAACAAATTAGCACTTAATACTTTTATTAAAATATTTATTTTGTTGAGGAAAAGGGACTGAAAAAAGATTTATTAATTAAAGTGTTCACATTCTGACCATAAAGAAACAGCTTAGACTTAAAATCACTGTTTTCACTGTCACAAGTTGTTAGAGGGCTTATTTTTCACATCCAGTATTTGTGCATCATGTTCACCCTTTAATTTTAGACAGAAGAAGTGCATTAGTAAATTGTATAAATACTCTTTACTAGTTGGAAATCATAACATTTTATCTCTGTGATTCAACCAATTTTGACCCCTTTTCCTCTCCTTATAGTTTTCTCAGGGCCTTTTGGTGCTACCCAGCTGTGGCACAACATCATCCAGGCCCTGCAAACGCAGGTAGAGGTGCGCCGCTGTAGAAGACATCTACGTGTTCATGCTGAATGTTTCACGGGCTCAGATGCTGTGGATGCCGTCCTCAGTTATTTGATGCAGAATGTGGTGTTTTGCACAAGTGAAATGTCACGTCTCAAAGCTGCTCGACTCTGCCAGGCTCTGATGGAGGCCAAGGTGTTTGAACCGGTGGGTACAAAGCTGTTTCGCAGAGATAAAGAAGTGACCTTTGAGGACAGCAGCTGCAGCCTTTACCGTTTCCTGGAATATAAAGGGTTACCCAATTCTGCCATGAGGGAGTGCAACAATGACTCAGAAAACATGCAACCAGAGGAACTGGAGCTAAAGAGGAAGAAGAGCTCCAGGTTGGTTTTTACTGATTGTATTTAGTATAGAAGCCTTTCTGCAAAATAAAGTAACACTGCATTGAAACTAAATGTTCATAAACACTGCAGACATGGGAGATTCATAAATATATATCATATTATTGGCATATAGCCTTAGATATTTCCTAAACAGGGGGACTGGCCCCCATGGGGTGGCACAGAGCCACTGCAGGGGTGTGTGGATCGTGCTGATGTGAATCATTTATTTTATTTCATTTGTATTCAAATTTTATTTGTTTCTCCCCTTCAATATTGTTGATGATTCATAAGACTTATTTATTATCAGTTTACTTGTGGTGGGGGGGCATGACAGATAAAGTTTGAGAACCAGTGCTCTAGATAACATCATTGACATCTCCTCTCAATTTTCTTGTGTCTTTCATGGTGTCTTTGCCAGGTCTTAAAAAAGACAGCATTACTGTTATTCAGTATATTTAATAATTATAATAATTTCTAAAGTTAAACCCACCCCTCATTAAATACTAGATTAAACATTGCTTGTAAACGCTAATGGTAATAGCCAAAATAGTATGTGCATGTTTATATCAAGGTTTTTAGTAAAAATATTCTCTTTCACAACATTGCACTGTTTTATTAATCACTATAATGCTACCTGTTTCTGGAGGATGAAGGAACTGAGGACGATCTCTAATCCCCTTGCTGTTGGACCATCGGACAGGAGGGTTGAGAGGCTGCTGAAGACCATCAACCTGCGACCAACCTTGTCTCCAGCTCTGAACACAACCCCCACTACCTCCACCTTTCTGTCCAAAGCTGGTAAGACTAATCTGTCAGTATTTGCCACAATGGTAGGTGCTCTATACAAGGGAACAACAATCCATGACAGTTTATGGTGGACAAATATTTTTCTCTCAAATATTTTTTTCCTCTTTCTACTAATTTCTGCCCTTACTAGTGGTGGATGATGTTTGGAAGCAGCAGACACTTCTGCAGTTGCTGCAGATAGTAGAGTTGCCCATGCTGGACTGCATCCTGACCTCTCCTGCCAGGGTTCAGCTCCAGACCTGCAGAGCTCCTCTGGCCACCCAGGACCTGGTTATCTCTAACACATGCCTGGAGAGAGAGCTGCCCGACACCCTTAATCTGCCTCAGTCAGTGCTCCGATTAGTACTTTCAAGCTTTTTTGGCCAGTGGACAAAAACTTACAGAGATAAGATATCAACACCTGTTTGTTCATATATTCTACCTCAGTTACCTACAGTGACAGTAAAAAAAATAGATTATGTTCTTTTAATCACCCTTTGTTCATAGGTTGGATGGGTGGCTGTCAGCAGCAGCAGACTGCTTGGAGCTCTTTCCCGACCAGCTGATTGTGGTTGCAGGTCAACAGCTCAGCCAACAAGGTGGCGATGCCTTTTCAGAAGGTGACCCAGCAGAGCAGATGGCAAGCCAAAAGAGACTGCTCTTTGACACCATTGCCAAGTACTACAGTGGACAGGAGAAAGCTCCACTTCTCTCAGGACGCTATCTGGACATACATGCTGCAATTCTGAATTTGCTGGGTGAGATTTGAGAAGGTTTACAGTTATTTTTTGGTTTATGTTTGCAAATTGTGGAGAGAGATTTGACAACCCTTCTGGTGTAGTTGACATCAGATGACAAGTATGTGTACAAATAAAGCAATACATGGTAGTTCCTTTGCAATCTGTGATTAATTTTCTTGTACAGTTTTGTCATAAAGGTCAGTACATTTAACCTCTTCATGAAGCTCCTAATCATTTTCCCGCCTCCTGTCTTGAACACATTTTTAACAGTATTTGTTAATATTAGGAGCCAATGCAACGGATTTTCATTCGGATAATGCACTGAATTGTGTATAGTTTTTTCAATGACAAATAAAGTCTTTAAGTCTAAGTTGTTTCTTTCCAGATGGAGGGAAGGTGCCAGATGCCATCAAAGCATCTCAGTTGTGTTTTCGACTGCTAGAGACGAGCGTGAGAGATGAACTCAGGAGACTACTGGCCTTTATGGCAACAGCAGCTCACCCAGATGCTTGCCGTCTTCAGAAACAGGTAGCTTGCCTCCTTCACCAAACCACACTGTCAGATCTAGCTTTTTTTATGCACACTTGTAGTGTATCATAATGAGAAATACAATATATTGAAAATAATAGAAGCAAAATTGTAGTTGTATCATACACAACACTGTTTTAAACCAGCTTGGGTGTTTATAGTCCATCTTGCATATTACTCAACTGCAATTTTTATATTCAAGTGTAGCTTTACTTTATAGTTTTACTTCCAAGGTTGGATGTGCCAGTGTGTTTGAATCTATCGTTGACTTTCTGGTGTGATTTTACTTTTCAGATTGATAACAAGGCCTTGGTCTGCCGCACTTTTCAGAGAGCAGTTGTCCAAAATCATGAACTGAACCGATCCCAAAGTGAAACCCTGGTGCTGTTTCTCATGAACAATTGCTCTGAGCTTTTCAAGGTACACGTTAATGTTTTATTTTTATATATCACCAACATGCTATTTTGAAGACAGCAGAAATGCTTCACATCACCTGAACGCCTTAATAGAAAATTGATAGAAAATTGAACAGAATCAAGATTTATTAAGCTATTTTTTCAAAATAGCAATATATCACATTTATAAAGTTCTACTTTATGTTCACTTCACTGTATCTTACTCATATATGTACTGTAGACCTACAAACACCTGTTTAATTCTAAAATAAAGTTTGGATTCAAACATTTTTTTAATTTCTTCTTCTTGTAATGAATGCAGACTCCTACATCCCTTATTGAAGCTGTGAGGAGAACATTGAGGACAATGCAGCAGGGAAAAGACCCTGACTCAATTGCCAGTAAGTCAGATATAACTACAACTAAGATTCACACTCTGACATTACGCCATCTCATGAATAAACCCTTCAGACTTTGTATGTATGTAACTGTACATAGAAAGACAACAATGTCAGTTTAAGTCCCTAAACTGTTGCAGTACATCCTGGTAATCAATTCAGACCCAAAACTATCTCCTATTAGACTGCTTTATGAAGGACCACATGGTGGGACCAAATCGTAATCACTTGTTCCTTGACCAATGTGCATTAATGCTCCAATCAACAACGAATGTCCTCTTCCCCACCGTGTGTCGCAGCGTTCACCTTCTGCCAGCAGATGACGCCACAGGAGTATGAGGACCAGCGAGAGGCTACCACCCTGGAGAGCCTCAAACAGCTACTTCGTGACATTTCCTCCAGCAAAACCATACCTGTCAAGGAGAAGAGGAGGCTGCTCAAAGAGTTTGAAAAACATCACCCCGTGGTCTTCCTCCAGCATTTCTCCAGCACCTTCTGAAACGTACAACTGAAGGGGGTAGGGTTAGGTGGTTTGACTTCCTAGGTGCACTTCACGAAGCCTGTTTGTGGTACGGCACTTACACTGAAGAATGATAATAATTTAATGTACACCCCTGAGTCTAAGTAAACATCTTTATAAATTTGGATACTTTAAAAACATCTCTAAAAACTATCTTATCCCACTAATGTCTAGGTGTAGAGAGGGATTGACACCTTACAGTAGGTGACTATAGCATGGCTGTGGCTTCCCCAAGTTACTTTAAGTCATAAGAGGCCTTCAGTAGTTGTTTTTCTTTCTGTCCTGTAGCACTGGATGCATTATCTGTCTGATAAACATTTAAAGAAGCATTTTGAGATATAAGTCTGTTCAACCTATAGGCTTAAATAGAGTTGTGAATGGTTTTGCACTAGTTTATAAACGATGACATATTAGCTCAACAATAATATCAGGTGCCTAAACTGTAGTAATTTTTTTAAATTTTACATTAGTTGATTTTATATTGTAAAGATGAATAATGTTCAAAGAGGGCATTTTCTTTTCTATGGTAGATTGTTCTGGCAATACTGCAGAATACATTATATGTAAAGTATAAAAACTTAAAAGGGAATACTGGACAAAAAACACGAGTTTTAACAATCTGTTCAACCTGCTGTTTTGAGGCTGCAATTACCCAACAGCTTGTGGACTAACTGATATACTTCTTGCAGATGTGGACGCTGTATTTGGAGAAAGCTAATGGAAAATGGACAATGCAACACTAATGTAGCTGAATAAGGTTTAACACTGTAATGCGTTTTTGTTAAGAGATGAATACAGAGATGAAGATTTTACTAATTGAAACTAATATGAAATGAAAACAAAGGGTACAATAATGTACAAGGATATCCTCAGGTTAATATAATATTTTTTATTTTAGGGGTTTTAACATGCTTTTAGTGCCATCATCTTGGTCAAATGTCTTATAATTGTAACTTTTTAGGATTTGACTAAAGGTGGCCATTATGCATTTTGATGGATGCATAATAAATACTGATGGAATAATATTTTAGGCTACTAATTTAATTTTTTGGTTAAGCATGACGTCTCAGCTGGGTTTTATTCTTTTAATTCATGAAGTCATACAAAAGTAATTTACAAATGTCATTTCAGTCAGCAACTTTTGCTCTTTACATATACTGAAATCATGTTATAATGCACTTTATGATGCTGAGACATGCTTTATTTTCTGTTGGGATAATGAATTGAATAAAAGTTGAATTAATGTTCTCTCAAAAAAGACTTTGCTGTAATTGTTTGTATGCGTATTTACTAGTCGAGTCCATGGACGTTGAGTTGTCCTTGATGTGTTTGTAATGTGTTTCCAAACATTAGATAATTAAAGAGATATTTCTTCCAGACATTAGAAGTTACCTTAATGGTAACAAAAAATTGGTGATTTTCCCCCCTCCATATTGCATTAAATTATGTGACCCATTAGAGTTCTGTTTCTGAAGTATTATTGGATTCCAATATTTGGTTAATAACCATCAAATGTTTTCACCTCAACAGAGTACTGTGTGTGTGTGCGTGTGTGTGTATATATGTGTGTGTGTGTATATATGTGTGTATATATAGATATATATCTATCTATATATACATATCTATATATAGATATATATATAGCTTAATTATTAAAATGATTTGGTGTACTATCTGTTCTTTGTACAAAAATCTGCGTTGTCTGTTGTACTATGGAGAATTTAGAGTTTGTGTGTATTGTGAATCAAGAAATTTGATGCACAGTTTATTTGTACAGAGAGAGACTGCAAAAATAGTCAGTTAAAACGGTCAGATGACGTTGATGCACCTGACTCAGTAACAAACCCGGAAGTAAGATAGGGTTCGTTCACCAGCGTACTAAGCAAGCCACCTCATTTCGTATGCTACTGGAAGACATGGGGGCCGTTGTGTTTCACTGCCATAACTGACAGCGGTACAGTTGAGACTCTACTTATAATAAGAAATAAAACGGAGAGCCCTTTTCATATCAAGGTAAGACGCTGGAGGGTTTCAGGTCGACCGTTTTGGATTCAAACAAACAACAGTAACGTCACTGTCTACTTGCGCATTGTTGCCTTGTTCGCTTGGGTAGGTCATGTTAGCTACCGTGATGTGTTCGAGTAAAAAAAAAACACGTAATTTCTTGCTACGCTGATGTCAGCCTTCTAAAGCTACGTAGGTGGATAAGGGGTTAAATATAGGTTTGGGAAGAGCTGTTAACTGCTACCATTGGTGTCTCAGTGCTGTGCTAGTTTTGATGTGTGCGTAACTTACAGGCTTAACAAGTCGATTAACTCAGCTAATATCAAGCTATTTTCCAATCATCCATGACAGTCACGCTACGCTTGAACATAACATTTAATGCTTCAACACAACCCTAAAGCTATTGTTTAACCTCACAATCATAATCGGGTTATGATAGCAAGCTGGTGTTAATAAACTACCTGCTATCCTTATGGCTAACTAGCTAGCTAACATTGTGCTAGTACGGCTCTGTGCAGGTAAATGTCCACAACGCTGCTCTCAGTTCACCTTCGTTTGTTTGGCCACCAGCTAGCTAATGCATATTGTTGACAAATATCAGTTCGTGTAAAGTAAATTGACTGCCAGTATTGGTGGCCATAGATTTGTATCAGGTATATATTTATTCCTTTGGCATGCATTTAATTTCCTTAACTTTTAAATGATGTGCAGTGATAAATATGCCGCAGTGTTGACACTTATGTCAGTAGTCCACGTCTTCAGATGAAGCTGTATTGTTTTGGATTAGGCTTTAGTAGATATGGCTTAGAAAATGAGGGACTGAAGAGGACCATAAGAGGAAATACTGACATAAACATTGACAACTCTGACAGTATCAGATGGAGCCATGCTCTTTGATAGATGTCATATTTCTGGCTGTTCACATAGTGTTACAGCAGTTTGCAATGGCTAAGCATACATAAGTGACTGATTTTGAGGGAGGTGCTGTGTAAAACTGTATATAAAATATAGATTAAGAGTCAGTGTCCTTTGATCCATTTAAATACTGATGAGTAACATTTTTATGTGGGTATCTGCAAGGAATTAATTATGCAAACTGTACTATGTGCATCTCAATTTATGGGCAAAAGCTTATATGATCTTGATTCAGTGAAAAAAAACATGTAGGTACTAGAAGCCTACTTAAAAATGTGTTTGCATATAGAAATAATTTGGCTGTATTACCATCAGCCACAATCTTTTGTCTGACTTCCTGTTGCCTAACATGCTGTGAAGTCACCCTGAAGTATTTTGAAAGGGAGCCTTAATGTGATGTAGCTTAGTTTGCTCTGAGTCATTTTATATTTCTGGGGACAGATTGGGCTGTTATGGTGCTTATTCTCCTCAGTGAACACAGGCAGGTCGCTGGGAACTTTGATGTGCAGATTTTCAAGCAGGTGCATTAGACCGTATGTCTAATGGATTGTTGAAGGCTTTTGCTTAGCTAGAACGGGTAACGCTACCTCTGTCAGTGATTGCCAGGACTATTGCTGTTTTGACATTTGAATGACTGGTCTATTCCTCTTAGTTAAAAACTGTACTTTTCTTTAACTGTTTACCTGTCCTGGGCGAACTGTCATCCACTTCTCACCCGTCAGCTGCCAGGTCAGGCCTGAACATGGAGTCTATGCTCAACAAGCTCAAAAGCACTGTCACTAAGGTGACAGCGGATGTCACCAGTGCTGTTATGGGCAATCCGGTGACACGGGAGTTTGAGGTTGGACGACATATTGCCAGTGGGGGACCAGGCATGTGCTGGAGGATCTACAATGGCACCAAAAAGTCCACCAAACAGGTGTGTATGTCTGTCTGTTTAAAATCGATGCCCGGACCAGGATAGATAAGTGACAACTGAGGACTTTCCACACCAGGAGTAGCAATGGACTTAAAGCTAATTTCAGGTGTTGCTAATTGTTGTTTGTCTTTGACCCTTTCAGGAAGTGGCTGTGTTTGTGTTTGATAAGAAGATGATTGATAAGTATCAGAAATTCGAGAAGGACCAGATCATCGATTCTCTGAAAAGAGGGGTACAACAGCTGACCAGACTGCGCCACCCCCGTCTCCTGACTGTGCAGCATCCTCTGGAAGAGTCACGGTGATTAACACACACACACACACACACACACACAAACAGCTATATCAAGGAAACTCAAAGAGGGGCTTGACATTGGAGGGAAAAACTGCATTTGTCTGCCTGTGCATATGTGAGCAAAAGCTTGTCATGATCAAAAGACTCTGTAGAGTATTCCCTGAATAATGTATGGCTCCTGAAGGCAAAATAAGGTTACGGCTATCTTGTGCTTACTTTCTTTTTACCACTCTATCTTTCTTTAACGTTCACCTAGAGCAGCTCCAAATTCAAAACACTTCTGTCTCTGTCTTTGCCTTTTTCATGTTGTTAAATGTCTCTGTCTGTTCAGGAATAACCTTCTTGTTATAACTTATGTTTCAAACAATACTAATGTTATTTGTGTATGTGGCCCTCAGAGACTGCTTGGCGTTCTGTACAGAGCCGGTGTTTGCCAGTCTGGCCAATGTGCTGGGCCAGTGGGAAAACCTGCCCAGCCCCATGCCCACTGACATCAAGGAGTACAAACTCTATGATGTGGAGACCAAGTATGGCTTGCTACAGGTGAGAGTGCAGACTGGTTAGCTTGGTTGATGTAGGACTGTAAATAAGGATTGTATTCTTTTATCTATTAGTCGCCAATTCTTTTCTCATGACACTGTATCAGAGTACAGGCTGACATTTTAAAAAGCCTTATTTTGTCTGACCAACAGCCCAAAACCCCAAAAGATTCAATTTATTATCATAGGATACTAAGAAGCAAAAATTCATATTTGCTGGATTTGCTGGAACCAATGAATTAAACAAGGGGTGGGCAATTTGACGATTTTAGATTGATATCTTGATGTCGCAATCTACTTTTCAGGTGAATCGTAGAGATTGCAGTATTTAATGTCCTCCTAAATCTGTTTCCAAACTTAATATAACCTCATTGCTTAGCGGATCCGCGCAATGTTAACAAACCAGTAGTGTTGTAGCCAACTACATGGAGATTCTGATTAGACAAATAACTTTACAGGGCTCTTCCTTGGGTGATGTATTGTAAACAATGCAGTTGAGTTGTGAGTGCTTGAAAAGTGTTATTTTGTGATCATGTTCTCTCTTTTGCTTCTCAAATTAGATTCTTAATCACCGTTTTGAAACCTGTGTAGTATTAATGTTGCAAATGGAGAAATTCATAGTCTATTTTAAGTCTGGCTATATCCTACTGGGCATTTCAAAATCGAGGAAAAAGGATCGCAATTTATATCTTGATTGTAACATGGTGAAAAGGTTTTTGGGCCAGATCGCCCACCCCTAATCAAAGCATTATCCAAATTGTTGCTGATGAAATTTCTGTCGATGAACTTATTTGCGGCTCTAGGTTTGTGTGTCAGGAACTTTAAGATGACCTTTTAGCAAAGGACCATCAATTAAAGTTAGACAAAAAGATACTTTATTTTTGTCACACCTTGTCAGACACTTTAAAGCACATACTTTCAGTAAAGATAAAAAAAAATGTGGAAAAACTTTTTTTTACCTTGTAGATCAACATCCTCTATACACATTATGTATGACACAGTAATTACACTGATGCTCACTGACTCACTTGTCAGAAGTATAATGAATGAGAACTTGCCTGTTTATTATTGTGAGCAGATTAAATCTTAGTTGTCTAGCAGGTTTTAGCACTATGTAGTCTACATCTGACACATGTCAGACACATTCATATTGTATGCTGTTTCTTCTCACAGCCAGTTGAACCAGCTAAATTCCACGCCTCACCTTTCAGTGTTATGTGGTTGCTGCAACATGCCGCAGTGACAATTAACTTGATATCAGGCCTCCAACTTTTTTTTGGTCTTCATTTCCGTTATCTTGCCTTTTACTGAAAGGAGATCATAAATGGGTGATATGACTAAATAAATGCCTGAAAAGTCTACCATAGCGACTGTTTACTAATCCTGTAGTTATTAGCCAAGTGTCTAAATGTAAATTAAATCCATGGCATTACGTGTGATATACTGTGTGTCGACCCATTCACTGTGACTTATCTTTGAGTCAGACTGTTTGCAACACATTGCAAAAATCAAACAAACTGTTGCGTTTGTTTGTCTTGCTTTATTTTCTGACATTTTTCTATCTCTTCAGATCTCGGAGGGTTTGTCCTTTCTCCACAGTGGGGTGAAAATGGTCCATGGCAACTTGTGTCTTGAGAACATTATCCTCAACAAGAGTGGAGCCTGGAAGATCATGGGCTTTGACTTCAGCATCTCCTCTGCCAACCCCTCAGATGCTGAGGTGGGAGACTTTTGCGCCTTTTTAGTACATTCTGCCAGGCAGGGCTTCAACATGCTCTTCCAAAATAATGTCTAGCAGTATTGTCGCATCTTTATGTTCTCACATTCTCTCATCCTCCTCAGCCTAAGTACACATGTAAAGAGTGGGAGCCCAACCTCCCTCCACTCTGCCTCCCCAACCCTGAGTACCTAGCCCCTGAGTACATCCTGTCTGTCAGCTGTGACTCCGCCTCCGATATGTACTCGCTGGGCGTGGTCATGCATGCGGTCTTCAATGAGGGCAAACCTGTTTTCCAAGTCAACAAGCATGACATTTTTAAGAGCTTCAGCAGGCAGCTGGACCAGGTGAGTGGAGGTGTGTGCCAAATGTGGGAGCATGACGATTGACTGGACAGACTCAGAGGATCATTAATCCTTCATAAAACTCACAGTTGTACATTGTAAGCACTTTTAAAAAGCCACTTGAACTTGGGATGGGCATTTGTTTTTCTTAGAGACATGCTGCTGCAATACAGGGCCATGCAGCGTGTGGACATTATTTTCATCCCACATGCTTATTTTTTCCTTTTCTCATGCTCATCTCTCTGGCAGCTGCTGTTGTCTGCTCAGTCATTGTCCAGCTCTTAGAGCAAGCGGATGTGTTGGGAAGATTTGATTTGAGTGATAAAATGGAAAAATTTTCAAAATAATCCTGATTATTGAAATTTGACACACTCCAGGATCCGCTGCTCCAAGCTAATGTGGAGGCTGTTCAGGGAGTCTTTGTACATGCATTCAAACTGTTGTGAGGGTTGACTTCAGACAGGCAATATGTAGGAAATGTGTTCAGAATCAATCTTTGAAATGTATTCTTAAAAATAAAGTCATGCAGCAGATAACAGCTACAGTACAAATAAAAAATTGTGTTACTATTACCAATCAAACACTAATTTTACTCTTTTCTGATCTGTTCCATTCTTTCTATGTTGTTCAATTGTAGTTGAGCAGCATGAGTCCAGCACTGCTGAACAAGATCCCAGAAGAGGTGCGGGAGCATGTGAAAATGCTGCTCAGCATCACACCCAATGTCCGACCGGATGCAGACCAGATGACTAAGGTTTGCATTCTTACAACATGCGTGAAAAGAATAGCATATATTTGTAGTGTAATGTCTCCTGACTTTTCTTTGTGTTTTTGTTTAAAATTCAGATTCCATTTTTTGACGACGTGGGTGCTGTGACCCTGCAGTACTTTGACTCCCTCTTCCAGAGGGACAATCTACAGAAGTCCCAGTTCTACAAGGGCCTCCCCAAAGTCCTGCCCAAGCTACCAAAGGTAATTGTTGTAAACTTTGTATAGGAAACGTGGTCTATATTTTAGGTACAGAGGATGAGCTAAGCGGAAACGAGCAGCAGATATTTTCCATATTTGTTTACTGTGCAGTAAGCAACAGCAAGTTTTGGTATATGTGATAGTCCGGGTTTGTTGTCATGTTACTGTCCTTTCAGTGCTCCCGTATCTATTAGAAGACATGTTATCACATGCTCTCTGTTTAATTGCTTCTTGGAAATTGTCTTTTCATTTGGTTTCTGTTATATTTGTTTCTGTTTTGTATTCCTTTGTCTTGGTACTTTTATATTTTCCATTTTGTTAAAAGTGCTCTCTTATAAACTCATTACAAACATACAGTATCACAGTTTGAAGTCTTACTCATTTTCATGGCTTCATGGGAACCTTTCTGTTTTTCTTTGTCTCAGAGAGTGGTGGTGTATCGAATCTTGCCGGCACTGACCTCTGAGTTTGTCAACCCGGACATGGTTCCTTTCGTGCTTCCCAACGTGCTGCTGATTGCCGAGGAGTGCACCAAGGAGGAGTATGTTCGCCTCATCTTGCCTGACCTCACGCCTGTTTTCAAGCAGCAAGAGCCTGTTCAGGTAGACACACGCAGAACACAGCAGCTTATGCACATGTCTGAAACAAAGTTTGTTGTTCAAGTGTTCAACATTATAGTTAGTCTAAGCAAGCCATGCACTTAAGTAATGACATCAGTCAGGTAATGTGCTCTGTCTTTTTTAAACTCAGAAAAGTGTGATTTTCCTCTTTAAACTTTTGCATGATGTTTCCTCCTTTTTGGCATTTGTGTTTGAGACTTGAAAGTGAGATTAATCCGTTAAATATAACCGACTAAAGAGCATGCTCTTGTCTTTCTTTGTATTTTTCTTTCCATGCGTCTTCAGGCTAGTAATATGGTGAGTGGTCTCTGCTGTGAATATGCTCCGGTCACATTAGCTAGTTTGTGCGTTTTGCTGTCTGTAGTACTAAAAGCTAAACCAAAGCCACTGAAAGCACTGTGTCTTTTTAATTCTCACTTAACAATTTGCTCATCTGCAGAAAGTTGTGCATAATAATTCTCTTGCTTTTGACTCTTTCCTAACTGGGTCCATGTGCTGTGCAGATCCTGCTGATATTCCTGCAGAAGATGGACCTACTGCTGACCAAGACTCCAGCGGAGGACATTAAGAACAGCGTGCTGCCTATGGTCTACAGAGCTCTGGAAGCCCCTTCTGTACAGATCCAGGTACAGAGGGGATGGGGGTGGGGCTGCTTAGTATTTGAGGTAGAGCCCGACCGATACAGGATTTTTAAGACGAGTACTTTGAACAAGTACAAAGTACAGCTGATTATGTTAGCTGAGTGCTGTGTTTTGGTGTTCCAACACATGTGTTGTCAACAAGGAACAAACTATGCAACAACAACACTTATAACAAGATTGAAGGGTCCATCTTACCCTCCTTTTTTTGAAGATGTCATTTATTGGCTGCTACAAACTGATTTATCTGCAATTGGCTCATGTCGGCCAATAATATCAGCACGACGATTTATTGGTTGGGCTCCAATTTGAGATACTGTTGGGATTAATTTAACATAATCAGCTGTAAACCTTAGAAACCAGCAGATAAATTAAAGGTGGTGGCAATATTACCTAGCAGTGATCAGCATCATCAAATAGGGCATGACTAAAGGAGATATTGTATTCGTGATTTTTTTATTTTTATTTAAAAAGCCAGCATCAAAAATATTTTTAGGCGTGTTTGAGATTTCCAGTTGCTTTATTGCTGAAGACAACATCTGTTAGAAGTATAAACACAATGAAAACAGTTGGTCGATTTTTACATAATTGTTGTCTACTTTTAGCATCCCCCTTGGAAACCTTGGACCTTTATTTTCCCCACCCGCTGTACTCCCCGTTCTTTTTTTCAGTGCTACCTTGAGAGCACAGTAAGAATGAATGCACTTGGCATCATCAAAATGTCAGATTTCAAAACGTCTTATCTGTGGCCGAGCAGGAGCTGTGTCTGAACATTATCCCGACGTTTGCCAACCTGATCGACTACCCGTCCATGAAGAACTCTCTCATCCCTCGAATCAAATCAGCCTGCCTACAGACCTCCTCACTTGCTGTGAGTCTAATGTTTTTGCTCTCAGCGTGCCTATGCATACATACATTTTTTTTTCCTCTAGTTAATACCTTAAGTGTCTCTGCTTTTGCCGTTCTCTAACACTTATTCTTAACTTTCATCACTGTCCACTACCAACTGAAAAGTCTGAATTTGTCTTTTAAATTATGAAACTTGTGTCTGTATCTTGCTTTTTTTACTGTTTAGGTACGAGTGAACTCTTTGGTGTGTCTGGGGAAGATTTTGGAATATCTAGACAAGTGGTTTGTCATTGATGAGATCCTGCCCTTCCTACAACAGATCCCCTCCAGAGAACCCGCCGTACTCATGGGCATCCTAGGTAAAGAAACTGGAAACACTCCACTTTTTACAACAGCTTTTTTTTAAAGCTAATTGACGTAGAGCAACCTCTTGGTTTGCTCAATGTTTGGTTATTTGACTTCCCCACTGCTCACTTTAGGAATCTATAAGTGCACCTTCAGCCACAAGAAGTTGGGCATCCCCAAAGAGAACCTCGCCACCAAGAGCTTGCCCCACCTTGTCTCTCTTAGTATAGACAGCAACCTCAACCTTAACCAGGTACTGCAACAAACACGCACAAACACATACCTTTTAAATTTAATTTACCTGCAAATTAGACATCTTTATTTTGCTGTTAACACCTTTTGCATATTTCTGCTGAATTCTATTTAATGTGATATTTTTTTGTTCCCTCTTTTCCAATAATATCTGATTATCTGATATATTCCACGTTTCAGTTTAACTCGTTCATGGTGGTTATACGGGACATGCTGAGTCGCATGGAGGCTGAACATAAGACCAAGTTGGAGCAGCTGCACGTCATGCAGGAGCAGCAGAGGTGTCTGTCATACTTTTAAATCACCCTGAACTACAGCCTCATTTATATTCTCTCTGATTAAATATAAAATGGTTAAACATATTAATGAGGATTTTATACCCTATAACATCTAGGGGTAATTGGATCTGTCTTAAAAAGCAATTAGCAGTTGATACCGACTACATAAATATGATAATGATATGACTAACCAGCATTGTATAAAAGCCTCTATTCGCATTCCTGCTCCATTCTTATTATGTTCATTGTTGTCTCTTCTAACAGGAGTATTAACATCTCTAACCCAGGGAACCAATCAGAGGAGACCAAGAGTACACCTAGCACCTCCAACCAGGTGAGAAGTTGATTCCATGACAAATTAACAGATCAGAGGACATGGATATACTTACTGTCTGTGCAAAAAATATTTTAAAGTTTATTAAGTCATTAAAAGCCTGGAGCCTGCAGTGATTGCAGTCTTTTCTTCTTTTCAGATTGATGATATCTTTGGTAGCACAGGGGTTAATGGAAAAGAGAATGGATCTGCAGCAACAGCCACACAGCCTAATAGAGTATGGAAACAATGACATACTTCATTTACAGAAATCTTCCCCTTTTGTCCATTTAGCATGCAGTCCAATTTGTTCATGGTCTCTCTTCCTTTGCACCTCCCTAGATGTCTCTGACTCTAGAGGAGAAACAGCGATTGGCTAAGGAGCAGGAGCAAGCAGCCAAACTAAGAAACCAGCAGCCATTAGCACCACAGACTATCAAATCAGCCACCTCCACCAACACAAAGGTAACGTCTGCCAACGTCTATGCACACAAAAACACTTCTGGTTTCTGATGATAATTCTTACCCCATTTTATGTTGCAGACTAAGGATCTGACAAGCAGCCTTCTCAACAACATGACATCTCTGAACAGCCTGTCCTTGGCCAACACAGCACGACCAGTCCCAGTGCAAGGCACCACCATTGCCGCCTTCCCCTCCCCCAGTCCCATGGTGGGCTCAATGGGTGCCCCAGTCTCCAACGGCTTCAACCCACCCATGGGCTTTCAGACAGGCGGTATGAGTATGGGTATGGGCATGCGCCCCACAGGCCCCGGCCTCTACGGCGGCATGGCCACCACCACCAGCACCCCAAACTTTGGAGCCCTCACTCAAAATCAAGGACCCATTGGGCAGACAAATAAAGCCCCTGACATGTCAGCCTTGGACAGTCTTTTTACACCTAACCAGCCCAAAGTTACCCTCAACCAAATGGGTCCAAAGGCTACACCCTGGCACCAACACCCCATGGCTCAACCAGTTTGGTTCAGCCCAGAACGCTCAGACTCAGATGCACAGTGCGCCAGTAGGTATGGGAGGAGTGTCCAGCGGGTTTGGGATGCAAGCAAACCCTTTTTTCAGCCCACAGAACTTTTCTCAACCTGCTGCTTCCCCTAGCCTGAACCAAAGTGGAATTAAACATAGTGCATCTGTCAACAATGATCTAAAAGACTTATTTGGCTAAATGTAAAATGAAAAAAAGATGCAAGGTTAAGTATATTCTTTTAATACCTTTGAACAAAATAGCCTTGAATTCCCACTGAAAAAGACACTGATTGAATGTTAAGATTTAAAATCCTTTCAAGGGTGTTGCTGTCTGTTAAAAAAAAACAAAAAAACATTCAACTTGGTTTAAACTCTGACTCTCGCTCACATTCAGCTGTCAAATTAACCTGCACCTGAATTCCATTTCTACTTGCCCAGAGGGACAAAAGGTTTGGGTGGGAACTACTTCTTCTATGCTGTGTTCTTTAAATGCTGGGGGTTTCCTACTGTTTTGTACTTACTACATTCTTGGGGAGTCCAAATATCATGGGTTGAGATCAATCCCAGCTCAGTTTATTCAGGAAGGTTTTGTGTTCATATCATGAATGATTGAATGGATGGAGTTGATTTCACATCCTGAACAAGTCGCAATCGCCTCCCCACTTAAAATTGTCAGGAAAAGATGGGAAAAAGTGGCTTCCATCCTTCACATCTGCTCAGTTTCAGGCTTCTGTACCTTTTATTGCTTCTCCGGAATATTGTAGGATATGCTGCATTTCTAAAGTGATCAGAGAGTTGGCTTGAAAACAAATGCTGCATAGACGAAAATGTCTGAGCCCAGTAGGTGGTAGCTTGAAGTGTAGCACTGACAAGCCTTCAGTCACTGATCTGCATCCAGGAGGCTTCTCCGTGGACGCAATCTGAAAGAGGATGTAGAAAATTGACAGCCCCACAGTTGCTGTTTAGACTGGGTAAACCAAGTATACCCACTGCAGTCCGTCTCCATGGTAACTGTTTCTCTGCAGTACCAGAAACATTCATTTTGTGGACACAAATTAGACAAATGACCCAGTCTGGTCTTTACTTTTTCCCCTTTTGGTCTCATTCGTTTATCAAATCTACTTAATTTGACATCTAAGCAAACATGTTGAAAAGGGAAGAATTAATTTTGTCTGATCAAAGATTCACCTCTTAAAGTAACAAAAAACTTGGCAGAATGAATGACTTATCTGTGTCTGATGATAGTGGAGTAGGATGTATGGTGTAGCTCTTAAAGCAGTGTCCTTTTAGCAAGATGTTAATGCTAAAGGCAGTGAACAAGGACAATATGCACTGCTTAGGCTAATGTGCCTTAGATGGGTACATGTGTAAAACTAGACAGACAGCACTCATCTGTTACTTAAGTATTAATATTTTCCCTTTTAATCAGCTGTCTGGCTTTTGCTTCTCAAATTACTTGCTTTGTTGCATGTTATTGAAATTGACCACAAAAGATCTCGTTAGATTTTTTTTTTTCTAGCATCTTTTCTAATAATGATTCCGAATTACATCAGTGACCAATGACATTTTATTTCACACATGCAGCTGGATTTGCTCTAAGGTTTTTAAGGAGCTCAAAAATCCTCCTGTGCACCATTTTTGTTCGTCAATTTGTACAATAAAGATTTCCACTATATTTTGATTTCAGCACTTTTCATCTGGATATGTGCTGGTGACATAATATTATGAAGTGTAAATATATAGTTATTTAAAAATGGATTGCTCTGTGAGGGCCTTGGCATTTTAATGTCCTTGTAATAATGGTTAAGAGGCCTTAGATGAGTCGTGTGCAATAATCCTTATTTGGTTGTTAAGGGTGCTTATCGATTGGCTCAAGCTGCCGTTGATGTGTCCTTAACTTCATCTTTACTGACCTAGGATAATTACATGGGTCTGTCAGATTTTTTTAAACCACTTATCATTTATCCGTACTGATTCTAAATCTTACATTTATGAAAGAGAATCACACCATTGTAGGTTTTTTAGATGCACCTTGGTCACACTGTATTTCTGCTGGCAATGATTGTTGTTAACATGCTGAAGTGTAATGTGTTTTTTTTTGGGTTAACTTGTTTTTGTATAATGCCACCTATACAAGGTGAGCTCTCTCCAGCTGCATGGCAGTGTTACTCGCTAGTGAATTTGACTCAAGAGATTCAGGTCATTTCCCTATTTTTGTCCTACAAGACTACAAATGTGTCCGCAATTTTAGCTTTTTCATCTGTAGATTGACATACAGTATGTGGCAGTTTTGATTTCATCATAAAGTGGAAGTGATCTGTGAAGTGTGTCACATCCTGGCAGAACCCCAAAGCAGAAAACAAAGCTTTTTCTTCTAGAAGATTATTTGTATACCACAACTGTCATATGTGTAGTGTGGCCCTTGTTTTATGTGTTAAGGTGCTGGTTTCTGAGGTGGTTTAATGAAAATCTGTACATATAAAGGAAAGTACACAATCTAATATTCTCAAAGGGTGTTTGTCTTTTGTGTGATGGCTTTAAAACACTACATCAGACAGTGGAGTGTAAGTAACTTTAATTTATAGAAGAAAGACAAGCCAAAGAGCAGTTAAGCGGCAGTGTTAATGAAACATCAAAGCTAACCTCCTTTTCGTTTTATGTTGAGGTATCTTGTCAAAAGGTAAACATTAAAAAGTGCACTAATTACAAGGCAGTACTCATGAATCAATCATTTGTAGATTTACTAAACTACATGTGCAAAAAATAGGCAGGACACAAAGATCAAAATTGATGCAGCAGAACAAGAGATGTTAACTTTTTGATCCGACGCATTCCTGGTGCTAACATCACCCACAATGCAACTCGACTGCAGACAATTTTTGGAGATTTGGGTGCGTCATGCTCAGTTATGCTACTAGTGGCCAATGTAGCTTCGAGCTGCTAGCCTCAAGCAGACATGAGGAGCTGGCTATAGAGATCTTGCAACCTCACTTCTTTCTAACCCCACACGCCATGATTGTTTTTAATATTGTGTATTGTAGTCTTCAGTCTAAACCGACATTGACTCAAGTGACACTGCTTGAGGCAATTTATCAGACACAGCTACCTCTGGAATCACAAAAGGCTTTATACATATATAAAATAACACTCACCAAGACCTGTAAACAGACCAATTTTACAGGTGTAAACAGACTTTCATGTGTAAAATTGGTGGAGTTCCCCTTTAACTTCAACTCAACCTTACCATAACCCTGAAAACACTATTTAAAGGGCAGTGCAAAAGATGTCCCATATCTTGTGAATATAAATAAATTGGCAGATGCTTTAAGAAAAGGATTAAATGCATTTGATTGTAGGCACTCATGATAAATATGTTTAAATAACTGTCATGTAAGGTCATCCAATCAGCAAAGAAACTAATCAGCTTGTGAAAACAGTACTGATTCAGACTACCTGAGGCAGGCATTGAGGTAATTATGAGGATCAACATTAAGTTAACCCCCCGACCTCCAGATGTGATGTCCCACATTCACTGGTTAAGTCGTCGCACTAATCTGGTGGTGTTTGTGGACAAGTTCCTTTGAGTCATGGCTGCAAAAGACAGATTCAAAGTAAATCGGGGCTTCAGATATTACTGTAACATTAACCACCTTATAAGCGGGAAAGAGTTCTACATAGCCCTCAATGCAGATTTTTGACTTGGACCAAAACTGTCGTTGTCCATGTTTACAACTCACCTGGGAAGTTCAGCTCATAGTTAAAACTATTGGTTGTAAACATCATGGTGCCTGACGGGTTCTGTTGGTACTGGAGCTCGATGTCCTGACTGGAAATGCTGCATTGACGACGCACCTACACACAACAAAGGAGCATAATGACACTAACTGTATAGTCTTGTTAGTTCAGGAAATTCTGCATGTATTTTACCGTGATGCTTATGATTTACCCTCTAAGTATCATGTGCTCTTTTGGACTCATTGACTTTATAATGCTTTTTTCAAAACACTAGCAGCATGGCTCTAGGGATGGCATTGAGCTGTACTCGTTTTTAGTTCTAATTAGCAAATGTTAGCATGCTAACACTAGGCTAAACTAAGATAGTGAACAACTGGATGGTCAGCATTATACTTGCTAAACTTCAGCATGTTATTATGAGCATGTTAGCATGCTAATATTAGCATTTAGCTGAAACCTGTCTGTGTACATCCTCTCAGAGCTGCTAGCATGGCCGTTGACTCTAGTCATTCTAACTTATTTACTGATTTACAGGATTTTGTGCTCCATAATAGGCTACTGGCATTTGCACATCAACAATATAAAGTTTTAGTCTTACTTTCAAATAATCTTTCCATATTCCATCTCTATCTTGAAACTGCCATCGTGGCTGTGCGCCCCAACTGTAGAATAGAAGAATTTAAGTTTATGAAAACATTTACATTAGTATAATGTTACATTTACATATGCCAAATGATTTTTTTGCCATGCAGATTTGGTGCGTAAGAAGAGACAGACATGAATGAGGGAAAAGTCATGTACCCTTTACACTTAAGTTGGTAATCAAGGGTTTTTCAAATTAGGGTCTTTTAAGGTGTGTAGTTTTTGAAGCAAAACCCTTCATACACCTTAATAACACCATAAATTGATAATTAATCTAGATTTAGCCCGCAAATACTTAAATTAAATTCACGTGTTTGGTATGTTTTTACAGGTAAAGTAAAGATTAATTTGTGGTATTTTAAGGGATTCTCGTCTCATAGTGAAATGTTTATCCTGACCCGATGCTCTGTTGACTCCCATCGTCAGCAGTCCTCCTCACTTGTCTTTTAGTTCCAATATTGTCATTGACCTGACACATACCTATGACAAACCAGAGTACACAGAGATGTAGTGGTATTTAAATCAGTTGTCAACAAAAGCAAAATGACTGATTGTTTGGTTTGTTTGGCTATTGTGCGTTACTTGAAAAATCCAGAGTATACGAGAATCTCTTGATCTTGAAGTGTAGTTGGCCCTGTGGATTTAGCTGGTATTGTCTATCAATGGCACTGCTATCAAATGAACAAACCTACACACAAATACAAATATGCACAAATAAGTCCACCTTATAAAGGAATTCATGTTGTCCCTGAAATAAACCTAAACAAACCATGTGATGGAAAACAGTTGATTTTACATTTTACATTGGTAGGTTTTGTTTATACGTTTCTGCTACAACTACGAAACTGCTGGATGCCATACTTACATGTGATTGATATTCTGTCCATTTCCCCTCATCTCCCATGAACTCCCACTTGTAACCTCCATCAGTGAGCTGCGAGGAGGAAGCCGTGGGAAGAACTGAGGTGGAGTAAAGGCTGCAGAGACATAAAAACACTGTCATGTATGTTCATACAAACTTTTATACAGGGTGGTCTCCTATTCCTACAGTATCTCACAAAAGTGAGTGCACCCCTCACATTTTTGTAAATATTTTATTATATCTTTCGTGTGATATAACACTGAAGAAATGACACTTTACTACAATGTAAAGTAGTGAGTGTATAGCTTGTATAACAGTGTAAATTTACTGTCATCAGACACATCAAAATAACACATTACATAGCCATTGATGTCTAAACCGCTGGCAGCAAAAGTGATTACACCCCTAAGTAAAAATGTCCAAATTGGGCCCAATTAGCCATTTTCCCTCCCCGGTGTCATGTGAATTGTTACAAGGTCTCAGGTGTGAATGGGGAGCAGGTGTGTTAAACTAAGCTCTCACACTCCCTCATATTGGTCACTGGAAGTTCAACATGTCACCTCATGGCAAAGAACTTTCTGAGGATCTGAAAAAAGAATGGTTGCTCTACATAAAGATGGCCTAGGCTATAAGAAGATTGCCAAGACCCACTGAGCTGCAGCACGATGGCCAAGACCATACAGAGGTTCAACAGGACAGGTTCCACTCAGAACAGGCCTTGCCATGGTCAACCAAAGAAGTTGAGTGCACATGCTCAGCATCTTATCTGTTAGAAATAGACGTGCTGCCAGCATTGCTGCAGAGGTTGAAGGGGCGGGGGATCAGCCTGTCAGTGCTCAGACCATATGCTGGACGCTGCATCAAATTGGTTTGCATGGCTGTCGTCCTGGAAGGAAGCATGTTCTAAAGATGATGCAAAAGAAAGCCGCAAACAGTTTGCTGTAGACAAGCAGACTAAGGACATTGGATTACTGGAACCATGTCCTGTGGTCTGATGAGACCAAGATAAACTTGGTGTCAAGTATGTGTGGCGGCAACCAGGTGAGGAGTCCAAAGACAAGTGTGTCTTGGCTGTCTTGGCTACAGTCAAGCATGGTTGTGGGGAGTGTCACTGTCTGGGGCTGCATGAGTGCTGCTGGCACTGGAGAGCTACAGTTCTTTGAGGGAACCGTGAATGCCAACATGTACGGGAAATGATGCAAACCTACACACAAAACATCTGTTATTTGTTATTATAAAGATTATTATAAAGATAAAGTTATTATAAAGAGAGTATTATAAAGGGGCAACTTTTTGAGCAATGTTGCTGGGCAATCTTGCTAGTGGCAAGTCCGACTATGTTTTGAATGGATAGCGGCGGTGCGGGGCAGGTGGCAGAGTGGTGGGGGAAGGGTATTACGGTAGTAATCTTTATCAACCATTGATGACAACGTTGCCCTGCACGATTGCTCTAAAAGTTGCTCTGTGTATCATCAGCTAAAGTATATGGGTGAAAGAATGGATAGCAGGGATCGTCTGTGCTACAGAGAGAGCTGAAGGGGAGTAAAAAAAGTTTTTTTCCCAGAAGAAGTAGCTGCCTGCTCTGCCAGCTGCCTGCTCTCATTGGCTGGATGTGGATGTCGAGTCGGCCGACTCCTCCGGATATTTGGCATGATAGATATCTGGCTGGCGTCTGTTAAGTGTCAGTGATGTGTCGGGGAGCCGTTTTGATGCGTAGTTCACACATAATTACTCGCAGATCGATCGCTGATTTACCCCTGATCACTGCTTGACGGTCGCAGAGTGAATTAGGCTTAAAGGTGATGGACTGGCCCAGCATGTCTCCAGACCTAAACCCAATTGAGCATCTGTGGGGCATCCTCAAATGGAAGGTGGAGGAGTGCAAGGTCTCTAACATCCACCAGCTCTGTGATGTCATCATGGAAGAGTGGAAGAGGACTCCAGTGGCAACCTGTGAAGCTCTGGTGAACTCCATACCCAAGAGGGTTAAGGCAGCGCTGGAAAATAATGGCGGCCACACAAAATATTGACACTTTGGGCCCCATTTGGACATTTTCACTTAGGGGTGTCCTCAATTTTGTTGCCAGTGGTTTAGACATTAATGGCTGTGTGATGTGTTATTTTGTGGGGACAGCAAATGTACACTGTTATACCATCTGTACACTCAGTACTTTACATTGTAGCAAAGTGTAATTTCTTCACTGTTGTCACATGAAAAGATATAATGAAATATTACATAATATATACAAAAATGTGAGGGGTGTACTCACTTTTGTGAGATACTGTAGATAAGGCTGCTGGTCAGATGACAGAGGCTGATCTATTAGAGTGCATACCATACAAAAATGTTCCTGTATGAATGAAGGAAATTTAGACAAGAATAGGTATCCTACAGATCAAAAGTCTTACCTCCCCGTGTTGGAATTGAATTTTGGACGCCTGCGTACATTTCTGCACACACCTGTGGTGCAGTTTGTTTGGGTCATGGCTGCAGAGCAAAAAGCAATCAGTCAGATTTAACTGTATCAAGACACATTTATTTAAATTACCAAGCTCACACAAGAAAAATTATATACATGACATACTGGAGAAGTTGAGTGTGTACCCCATCGAGCCCACAGTGAAGCTGAAGGTTCCCTGAGGGTTTAGAGTGAACTGACGCTCAACATCTTGACTGCTGATTGAGGAGGCCATCATGCTGGAGCTCTGAGAAAGAGGAGGAGATACAGAATGTAAAAAACTCAGAGATAAATGAACTGAAGGGTTGATATTTGAGAGTTTCCTTACCTGGGATCCATATTCACGCCACAGCTGGTCATCTCTGAAGTACCAGCCTATGTCCTCCGTCTGGCCCTGTGGTAGGAAGCTTAGTCTCTGCACCTTCTGAGCTGCATTCAGAGTTTTTAACTTGTCAAAGTCTATGAACACCTGCCTGTGAAGGACATGTATGATTCAGTTTGATATTCTAAATACTTCTTTGAATGTGACATTTTGTTTTGAGTGCACCAAAATAAAACCCATCCATCCAAGTATTGTATCAATATGTTATTCACCTTCATGATAATATAAATTCCACCCTGCAAAAAACTTACAATGGCAAAATCCGTTCTTTGTCAATCCTTACATGCCACATACCATTCAAATAACTCTAGATTATACTGAAGTGCTTCCAAAATAAAATACCTAAACCTTAAAACAAATTTTCTTTGGTTGTCAGACAAACTGAAAGAAAACAAAATATCCCTTGAAGATAAGTTTACCACTCCCTTTCTGTTCATAAAGGCCTGAAGAACACTACCCCTTGCTAGTGTTAATGGTGATTCCTTTAGCTCCAGGTTGGCAGTAGTGGGCCTCGATCACACAGTCGTTGTCAATTCGCAGCCATTGATGTCCATCTGACAGCTGCCACTCATACTGTTTCACATTGACTGTAAAATAGAAGAATATGGGATCTTTTAATACATTCATGTATTCTCTTTATGACCCCTGATCTGACTTTCTTTCTCTACGGTCCTGGACAGGTTTGGAGCTAATTAAATTAGTCCTGCCATAAATTAGTACAGATTTGAGAAACTTGTACTTAGGTCTTTTCTTCTAATGCCACTCTCTATTTCTACTCCACTACAATTTAGAGGGCAATATTGTACCTTTTACTATATAATGTAAGATTTTTGGCATACAAAGCATATAAATAGCTTATAAAATATGTTTTGTTATAAATGAAACTACCCAAAAGTTTATACAAGTACAGCTGAAACACTTGATGTTTCAGTTGATTAACTGACTAGTCAATTAGTAGAACATTAATTGGGAACTTTTTGATAATTACCTAGGCTATTATCTCATATTATATAATACATAATAGTACAACAGTTGCAGGGGACATTTCTTTGCCTTGATAACTTTTACTTTAAATTCTTTTAACTACATTTTCCTGATTATAATAGGCCACACACTTTCGCTAATTAAAGAATCGTAATCCTCTAGCACTAGTCCTGTATTTTAATAGATGTATTTGTAAAGATCATAAAAACATGACAAACAGGTAGTTAATCTGCTCTGATAAGTGAGGAGCCCATGTCCCTAGTTGCTGTCTGACTTCATGTATAATAAGTCCAATGAGGATCCACATCACAACTCTTTCCTGAAGTCACTTTTTTATGCTTTAAAAAAAAATTGCCTACAAGAATATCATATATTCAACTTCAGATTCTTTACATATTTTCCTTGGAAAGTTACTGTTAGTCAGTCCTGCAGAGTCAACTAAAAGCCTGAACTGCAGGCATTAACTTCAAATGTCGTGGTATACAGACCTGAAGTCCCCCTCAAATAGCCCACCTCCTCTTCATTGTCCTGTAAGCAACAAATACAAATAAATAAAACTCATTCTGTCAACTTCCACTTTCTTTAGTTCAACGTGATTCCTGGTGTAGTAATAATACTCACCGTGCTGTGAGGAAAATACACTGTAATAATATCAACAAAGGCAGATTAAAAACAAACAAAGGTAGAGTGCGAAAAAACGCAAATGTAATTTTAACAATAATATTGTTGCCTTATTTCACTAAATCCCCTTTACTTACTCTTACGCAGTAACGATGTGAAGGTTTCGCTTTTCCACAGCTTGACTTTCAGTTTTGCTTCTCGGCAGGAGTGTTGATTACGAAATCAGCTCACGCAAGCAAAACCAAAGCAATGATCTTTGGTGCGTTCCAGTTGACGTGGGAAAACCTCGCTCGGCCAGCTGTTTGTTTACAGCCAGGTTAGCTATTGAGACCGCCGGTTGATTAAAAAACGCATTGTGTGGTATTACTCACACTAAACACTGTAGGAACACGCCCACAGACAGCTGTTGGACAGCACTTTGTGTACGAACATTTCTATGCGTCACAAGTACACAGAAGTGCTAATAAACAGTATGACTACAGCTTTCACTAACTGTTGATACCCCGACAGCCACCTTGGATCACAAAGTCGGGGTAATGTTTCTCCCGACTTCTCAAGCCGGGCCCCCTACCTGTTCCTGGTGGTAACCGAGCTTCTTACAAATTCTATTACTGAAAGCTCTCTAGAGGGTATCCTTATAGCAGGCAAAGAGATCGTGATAAGCCAACTGGCAGACGATACTACGCTTTTTCTCAGAGATGATACACAGATTTCTGCTTCACTTAAAGTAATTGAGCCATTTTCTAAAGCATCTGGTCTATTTCTGAACATTGAGAAATGCGAACTCGTGGCTGTTAGAAACTGTTTAACCTCTTCTTATTGTGGCATCCCAGTTAAAAATTAACTGAGGTACTTAGGAATAACCATCCTCAAGGATAAAAAATCCAGAGGCCTAGTTAACTTTAACCCTAGTAATTAAAAAGACCCAAACAAAACAAAACCAATGGTTAGAGCGGGATTAATCACTAAAGGGTGGAGTCCTTATTTCTAAGGCTGGAGGAATATCTAGTCTGACTTTTGCTGCTCTGTCCCTGTACATTGATGACAAAGTGTGCCGGAAAATAGATCAGATGCTGTTAGATTTTTTGTGGAAAAACCGTATTCATTATATTAAGAGGAGTGTTATTATGAATACCTATGAGTAGCCTAGGGTGGGCTAAATGTTCTGGACTTTTCCACGTTAAATAAGACCTTTAAGATTAACTGGATTAAACAATTTGTAAAGAATCCGGACTCGTTGTGGAACTTGTATTCTCTATGCTTGGTGGCCTTAACTTTATGCTGGTTTGTAATTATGATATTGACAAAGTACCAAGCTCTCTGCTTTTCACCGGCAGGCCTTTTTGTCATGGGCCTTAATTTACAAACATAATTTCTCTCTGCACAGATATTATATCTGGAACAATCGTGACATTCTGCATAAAAACAAGTCCCTCTTCTTGGAATATTGGTTCAGGAATAACATTTTACTGGTAAGTCAGCTTCTAAATGAGCAGGGTTTTCTTCTTACTTATCAGGAATTTCTACATCTATATGGGATCCCTGTAACACTCAGAGACTTTGCTCTGGTTCTGGATGCCATTCCTTCAGGTGTACTTGTATTGTTCAGGAATGGAAGACCTGACCTTCAGGTTGTATCTGCATTTGATCCTGGTGACTATCCAGTAGGAAAAGTTTGCTTCTCTTCCCGTCCACTTAACAACAGAGCTATTCGTGCCTTGTTCCAACAAGACATAGTCTTTATTCCATATGTCATGTATTATTGGAATCAGTTTGTCAATGATCTGTGCTGGAGAAAAATTTGGATGTTGCCCCATAAATATTTACTTATTACAAGGCTAAGGAAGTATCCTTTAAGATTATTCATAGAGTGTACCCCACTAAGTATTACATGAGGTTTAAAAAGGACATCAATCCTAAATGTACTTTTTGTGAGACTCATATAGAAACGATATTACTTTTGTAAAAAAAAAAAATTGGAAGGATGTATGTACATTTATTAATGGTTATATATATCCAGGTTTCAGCTCATTCTGGCAGAATGTTGTTTTTGGGGGTTTCTGCAATGAAAAGCCGCACTGCGACCATTATTTTGTAATTTAGTTTTGTTTCTGGCAAAATTTCATATACATAAATGCAAATTTACAGACAAAACCCCCCTATTTATAGTCTTTAAGAAGGAAATTGAACTTTATTTTAGAACACTTGGTTTTTCTTCCAACAAAAAAGCTCTGAAGGTACTTAATATCTGTACACGTTTGAAGGTCTTTCTGTGATATTCTTGTCCTTTTTTGTTTTTTATATTTGTCTCTTTTTTTTGTAGCCCCCCCCCCCAGCTATTTGTTCCTTTGTATCTTTTATGTGCTGTATGCATAGACTGTATGTAATACTGCTCTACTAATAAAGAGAAAGGAAAACAAACAAACAAACAAACAAACAAACAAAAAACTTCTCAAGTCAGGATTCCCGAGTTAAGGGGACGTTCCCTTTGAAATTTTGACCTTTGAACTCGGAAATTCCGACTTCCCATGTCAACTGGAACGCACCATAGGCTAAGCTACATCAATATGATTCTCTGTCATTACAAAGGTTTTCTTGTTATCTGTTACGCTTTTCGTTTTTCAACACAAAGTTACATAATAATGCATGTAGGCCTAACTCTTAAAAGCCTATGACAGGGCAAATGTGAAATCTTTTTATTTATTTGACTAAAATACTGACAATGATGGGCAGGTTTTGATAGAGAGGGGAATAATAATAATAATATTCCAACGTAATGGTCCTCTGATAAATATGTTATATAATAGGCTATGTCTATAAATATTTTAATTATATATTCGACTAACAGTGAACATCTTTGCCTTGTGTTCTGTTTAAACATTTTCATTGTCTCAGTGAAGTGATAACTTACATGGACTTGTTTACTGGACAGCATGGCTATGTAAATTATATGGGCATAGTTCATTTTAAAAAGGTTCAAATGAGGGCAAAGATAAAATGTAGATTCACCAACGTAGGGATATCATGTCTTATTGCCTCAAAAACAAACAACAGACAAACAAAACAAACACTGGATGGATTTATTTTATTTGCTAAAAATTATAATTTTCAATTCCGATTACAGGATATTTATTATGATCTCTGGTACATTTGTACAAAAGAGAATAAGTATGAAGTAGAATTAAACTGAAGATCCCAGACTTGACGTCTAATCATGAGGAAAACATTATATAAATTACCCGAAGAATTACAGATCATTATTGCATAATGTAACCATGTAACTGGGTCATGTTAAACACTTCAAAGGTAATGTGCATACACAGCATAATGCTGTTTAGAAATGGACTTGAAATTGCATTAGAATTCATCTAAATTGTTCAATTCTATTACATCCGAAGGCCGTATGTAGATATGCTACAACATAACAACAGCTATTTGTGTCATCAGTTGTTTGTCCCATATCTTAAATTCTTCTTCAGATTTACCAACAAAACAATTGCATCCCCCCGGTAGGCAGTGTGCAGTAAGTCATTACATTACAAATAATTTTGTAAAAGGCAGGTTTACATTACATACTTGGAGTGCAAGTTCGTCAGGCAGAATTTAGGTTCAGGTTGGTAAACCTCAAAGCCCTTTGACACAATCCCCTATGGCAACCACATTTGTTAAAAACCACAACAATCATCATTAGTATAATTTCACCTTATACTGAACACCTTTCTAATTTAAACACAGCTACAGAACCAAATCAACTAACTAACTAACTAACTTGGCAAGGTTTAGGCACCAAAACCACTTCGTTAGGTTTCGGAAAAAAGAAACGCAGAAACCCTAAAGGCAAACTTTTCCCACTGCAAAAAGCACAGATTACTTATTGTAAAATGTATGCTATTATTGCACAATAGTTTGTAGACTTTCTTCATTAGGTCTTCCAAATCCCCTCTTCTTCATTTTTGCCAACAAAACAACAATTGCATCCCCTGGGTGTGGCAGTGTGCAGTCAGTCATGTGTGTGTAAAACTGCAATTTTGTTAAAGGCAAGTTTACATTACATAATCTGAGTTCAAGTTCATCAGTTAGAATTTAAGTACCCAGTTGGTGAACTTCAAAGCCCTTTGACACAATACCCTATGGCAACCATGTTTTTAAAAATTCACAAAAATAATCAGTATCCTGAACACCTTTCTAATGTAAACACAGATGTAGAACCAATTCAATTAAAAACTATTAGAACCTACTTGGTTTAGACACTTGGTTAGGTTTAGTGAGAAAGGCAGAAAGCATTTCTGCCAGAAAGCACTGAAGTCAAACTTCTTCCCCGTGCATGAAGCACAGATTAGTTATTGTATAATGTATGCTATTATTGCACAATTGTTTGTAGACTTTCTTCTTGAGGTCTTCGAAATCCCCTTTATTGTTCATACCAGCACACGTCTGATTTTGCGTTTTCGGTTGGTTTTGAGGTTGGTTTGAATCATCGCTGTGGGGGGAAAAATTAGTTAATTAATAAATGCATCTATTTTCGTGGTTCAGGATTACAATTTATGGACGTTACAGTTTATCTTAGTTGATATTCTTCATGACTTGTGAGTTCTCTGTAATACTTTATTTTACGGGCCAATAAATTCCTCATTATTCATTAGTTTCATCTGAATAACTTTATGATTGGGAACTATTAATAGGTAGAAAGTGAGACAATGTTGAATTGGTACACTTAATGAATTAATTTCAATAAAAGAAATAGTTTGACATTTTAGGAACTATGTGTATTTACTTATTGCTGTGAGTTACATGAAAATATTGATCCCACTCTCATATCTGTATGCTAAATATGTAGTCAGCAGCTAGTTAGCTTAGCATATTATAAAGACTGGAAAATGGGGGAATGGCTAACATGGCTCTGTCAAAACAAGGTAAGAAACAAGATATACCTAGGGAATCGTTAATGTGTCTACAGGCTAGCATGCAATTCAACATACACTTATCGGCCACTTTATTAGGTACACCTGTCTAGCACCAGTTTGGACTCCCTTTGCCTTCAGAACTGTCTTAACTTTGAACAAGGTGTTGGAAATATTCCTCAGAGACTTTGGTCAATATTGACATGACAGCATCTCACAGCTGCTGCAGATTTGTCAGCTGCACATCAATGATGTAAATCTCCCGTTCCACCACATCCCAAAGGTGTTCTATTGGACTGAAATGTGGTGACCGTGGAGGCCATTGGAGACCATGTCCATCCCTTTATGACCACAGTGAACTCATTGGCATGTTCAAGAAACTAGTTTGAGATGATTTTAGCTTTGTGACAAGGTGCATTATACTGTTGGAAGTGACCATCAGAAGATAGGTACACTGTGGTCATAAAGGG